TCCTGGCCAGTTCGGAAACTGAACAGCACATCGGTGGGCGTTGCATCGCCGAGACGACCGAGCGGACTCGCCGGGCCAAGGGCACACTTGGCTGTGGAGGACGATGCTTTCCAACGCCCTCACTGCTTCCTTCCGGGCCCAGATCACCCCCAGCCCTCTCTCCAGGTACGCAGCACGCGCCCGCGCGCCGTCGACCCACGGCACGCCCTGGAACCGCGCTGACGGACCGAAGCCTTTCTGTCCCCGAACGCTGGGCGACACCCCTCGCCTCTCTGCGCGCCGTGAGCGCCGATGCGGCGCGCCACCCACCATTTCTTCATTCATCCTGCGCATCCAACGCGCATCCATCGCATCGCTCCCTGCCACGACGCCCCGCGGTGCGCCCTAGCAGGCCCCAGGTCGCCTCGCGCGCCACACCGAGATCACCGCACCTCGTGCCTCGATGCGCGCGACCGCGGCGTCTCACGCCGCGCCCACGTCCGCCTCCCGCCCCGCAGGACTCCCAAGGCCGCTTCCCGCACGCGCGCGCACCCAACCTCCCCCGCCCTGCGCCACACCATGGGCGGCAAGGGCTCCAAGCAGGCGCGGCCCGTTTCGGCGCGCAAGGCCACGAAGATGGCGGCCGCCACCGGCTTCGAGGTGAAGGCGGTGCCGACCAAGCCGTACGACGGCCAGAAGACGGGCACGTCGGGCCTGCGCAAGAAGACCAAGGTGTTTATGCAGGAGAACTACCTCGCCAACTGGATCCAGGTGCGTCCCCCGCCCGTGCGCGGCAGCCCTGAGTGCGTGCGGTGCGTCGGGGGGGCGCGCAGGCGCGGTGCGGCCCCGTGTGCGTCGGATCCGGCGCGCGCCTCGGTTGGTTCTCTCGAGGGTGTGCGCGCACGGGCGCATCGCGGCGCGCACGGATCGCTAGGCGCGGTTCGCGGCGTCTGGAGCCCCGTCGCGCAGCATCGCCCGCGCGGTTCGGCCGGGAAGAGCGCCGCAGCGCCGGCAGCGCGCCCCCGTGGCCCTGCGAAGCTGCGGGGCTCCCCGTGCTCCGCGCCGGGAATCCCGCGGCGTGTTTTCTCTGCAACTGCCCCACAGTGCTTCTCCCCGCCCCGACCACTCCGCAGTCGCTCTTCAACGCCCTCGGCGACGAGAAGGTCGGGCAGACGCTGGGCCTGGGCGGCGACGGGCGCTTTTACAACAAGGAGGCCGCGCAGATCATCATCAAGCTGGCCGCGGGCAACGGCATGAAGAAGGTCGTGGTCGGCAAGGGCGCGCTGATGGCGACGCCCGCCATGTCGGCCCTCATCCGCCGCCGCCAGATTTACGGCGGTCTCATCATGTCGGCGTCGCACAACCCCGCGGGGCCGGACAACGACTTCGGCATCAAGTTCAACTACTCGAGCGGGCAGCCCGCGCCGGAGTCGATCACGGACAAGATCTTCGGCGAGACGCAGGCCGTGTCGACGCTCAACATGGCGGACATCCCCGACGTGGACCTGGAGACGGTGGGCGTGCAGAAGTTCGGGTCGTTCGAGGTCGAGGTGGTGGACCCCGTGGAGGACTACGGCGCGCTGCTGTCGGAGGTGTTCGACTTCGACCTCATCAAGTCGTTCCTCGCGCGCCCCGACGTGCGGTTCAAGTTTGACGCCATGTGGGCCGTGACGGGCGCCTACGCCGAGCCGATCTTCTGCAAGATGCTCGGCGCGGACCCGTCGTGCATCAAGGACGGCGTCGTCAAGGAGGACTTCGGCGGCGGCCACCCGGACCCCAACCTGACGTACGCCAAGGAGCTGGTGGACATCATGGCGGCGGACGACGCACCGGTGTTCGGCGCGGCCTCGGACGGCGACGGCGACCGCAACATGATCCTCGGCAAGCGCTTCTTCGTCACGCCGTCGGACTCGGTCGCGATCATCGCGGCGAACGCGCAGGCGTGCATCCCCTACTTCAAGGACGGCGTCAAGGGCCTCGCGCGGTCGATGCCGACGTCCGGCGCGCTCGACCGCGTGGCCAAGGAGATGGGCCTGCAGTTCTTCGAGGTCCCCACGGGCTGGAAGTTCTTCGGCAACCTGATGGACGACGGCCGCCTCTCGATCTGCGGCGAGGAGTCGTTCGGCACGGGCTCGGACCACGTCCGCGAGAAGGACGGCATCTGGGCGGTGCTCGCGTGGCTCTCGATCCTCGCGTACCGCAACAAGGACGTCCCGGAGGGCGGCAAGCTCGTCACGGTCGAGGACGTGACCAAGGAGCACTGGGCGCGCTTTGGCCGCAACTACTTCTCGCGGTACGACTACGAGGAGTGCGCGTCGGAGGGCGCGGAGGCGATGATGGAGCACCTCCGCGGCGTCATCGCGGCGTCGAAGAAGGGCGACAAGTTCGGGCCCTTCGAGCTCGACTTCGCGGATGACTTTGAGTACACGGACCCGGTTGATGGGTCCGTGGCGAAGAAGCAGGGGCTGCGGTTCGTGTTCTCGGACGGCTCGCGGTTCATCTTCCGCCTGTCCGGCACGGGCTCGTCGGGCGCGACCGTGCGGATGTACGTGGAGCAGTTTGAGAGCGACCCGGCCAAGCAGGGCAAGGACGCGCAGGACGGCCTGGCGCCGCTGATCGCCGAGGCGCTCAAGACGAGCAAGCTGCAGGAGTTCACCGGCCGCGAGAAGCCCACGGTCATCACCTAAGCTCGCTCGAGGGGGGGGCGCTCGGCGGGGGCTGCGCCTAATTGGACGGATTGTAAACAGATATTGAAGCGCGAGTGACGAGGAATTCTGAAGTGATCGGCTTCACATTGCGTTGTTTCGGCGCGCCGCTCACGCACACGCTTCGCCTCCCGCTGTACCGCGCGTGGTGAAGCACACGTAGCGGATCGATGCCAGATATGGTTCCTAGTCAAATTCTCACGTGCACCTCTGGTTGCTGCATCAGGTCGCATCCACGGGCTTGCTGCGGTGCTCCTCGGGCGTCAGCCGGATATCGGCCGCCGGGAACACCGTCGCGTCCTTCGCGGCTGCGGGTGTGGCCGGCTCCACCGCGGGCGGAGCAGGCGCGCGCGGGGGCGAGAACGGCGCCGCTGGTGGCGGCGGCGCGCCCGGCGGCGGCGGAGGCGCCCGGCGGTGGCGGAGGCGCACCAGCGGGCGGCGGCGGAGGCGCGCCCGGCGGTGGCGGCACGGCCGGCTGGCTCGGGCCCGCTCCGGGAGCCGGCATGGGCACCTGTGGTGGGGGCACGGGACCACGCGGCATCGGTCCAGCTCCAGGCGCCTGCGGCGGCGTGCGCGGCGGTGATCCCGGGTACGCGGCAGCTGCGCGGCTGTGCTTGCGGCGGAACCCAGGGCGCGGTCCGCCACCGCCCGGGGGCGGCGGCGGCGCTCCACCAGGCACGGGCATCGGCGGCGGCGCCCCGGGCGGCGGCGGCGGCGCGCCTTCGATCCCGGCGTTCATGCCGCCCACACGCATCACCGGCCCGTGACGCCCGCCGCCCGGCGGCGGCGGCGGGCCGGGCGGCGGCGGCGGAGCGCCTGGCGGGCGGGCGGTGTTCTCATGTCGGGCCGCACGCCCTCCGCCCCGGCCTCCAGCGCGACGCGACCGGCCACGTCCTGCCCGGCCATGCCGCGCAGCTGCTGCGGCCCGGCGCGGGTCGCGGCGGCCGCGGCGGCCGGCAGCGGGCGGCCCTCGGCGTCCTTGGGTTCAAAGAGCTTGGCGAGCAGCCGCATGAGGAAGTGGCAGTTGCCCTGCCCGCGCACGTTGAACGAGGACGGCACGTCCGGCAGGTGGTTGCCCATCAGCTGCACCTCCTCGAGCGCGCTGAGCAGGCAGACGCGGTACGGCAGCGCCTCGAGGGCGTTCCCGGCCATCTGCAGCACGCGCAGGTCGACGAGGTCGCCGATGCTGTCCGGGAGGCTCTCGATGCGGTTCGAGGACGCCGAAAGCGTGTGGAGGTGCCGGCAGCGCCCGAGCTCCTGCGGGAGGGCCGACAGGTTGTTGACGCGCAGCTCGAAGATCTCGAGCGAGACGAGCTTCCCGACGGAGGCCGGGAGCTCGTCGAGGGCGTTGGCGGACACGTCGAGGTGGCGCAGCTTCTTGAGCTGGCCGATGTTGTTCGGGAGCGAGTGGATCGCGTTGTTCGAGACGATGAGTTCCTCCAGGTGCTCGAGCGAGCATATCTCGCTGGGGAGCTGCGTGAGGCCGTTGCTCTCCGCGTGGAGCGCGCGGAGGTTGACGAGGCCCTCGATGTCGCGCGAGAGCTCGCTCACGGCGTTGTTGCTCAAACTGAGCACCTCTAGGGTCTCGATGGGCTCCATGTCCATCAACGGGTAGTCCTCGAACTCGTTGCGGTCGAGGATGAGCTCGCGGAGCTTCTTGAACTCCCCGAGCCAGTCCGGCAGGTCCGTCAGGTGGTTGTCGGACAGGTCGAGCACCTCCAGGTGGTCCTTGTGGTGCGCCACCAGCGGGGGGACGTCGTCGAGGCTGGCGCCCGCGAGCCGCAGCTCCTTCGCGCGCGGGTTGAGCAGATCGATCAGCCCGAGGTCGCCCTTGTCGCCCATGCGCACGCGCGCCAGGATCGGGTCCAGGGGGTTGCCCGCGACGTTGAGCGACTGCAGCATGGTGAGCTCGCCGAGCGCGACGGGGAGCGTGTTGAGCTGGTTGGACGACAGGTCGAGGCTCTCGAGGTTCGTGAGCTGCCCGATCTCCTCCGGGACCTCGTACAGGTCGCACCCGGACAGGTCGAGGGTGGTGATCTCCCTGTTGAACATCCGCACCACGAGGAGCGGGTGCTTGGCGTACAGCGAGTCCTGCGGGTGGTCGAGCTGGTTGCCCTCGAGGCCGAGCTCCTCGAGGTCGCGCAGGTCGCCCATCTCCGCGGGCACGCGCGTGATACCCGTGTAGTCCAAGTTGAGCACCTGGAGGCCGTGCATGCGGGCCAGGCACGACGGCATGCCCGGCCCGAGCGGGTTGAAGGCCGCGTTGAGGAAGCGGAGGTGCCGGAGCATGCCCAGCTCGGGCGGCAGCTCCGCCAGGCGGTTGAAAGAGATCTCGAGGGACTCGAGGTGCTTCAGGCTCGCGAGCTCGAAGGAGAGCTGGCGGAGGCCGTTGCTGGCCAGCGACAGGACGCGGAGCTTCTCGAGCGACCCGATGACCTCGGGCATCTGCGCGCGGCGGGCACGGGCGGGCGACGTCGGGTGCGGCGACCGCGCCAGGTGTGCGCGGCAGACGGGCGGTGTAGGGCGGAGCGCGGGACCGCACCTGCTTCATCTTGTTGGACGCGACGTAGAGCTCCTCGATGGGCGCGGAGCTGAGCGTCGCGGGCAGCGCGTCGAGCAAGTTGTTGCTCGCGGCGAGCACAGTCAGCTTCGGGCACTGCCCGATGGTCGTGGGGAGCGCCGTCAGCTTGTTGCTCGACACGTTGAGCATCCGCAGCTCCGGCAGCACCACGGCGGGGAAGTGCTCCAGGAAGTTGCTGCTGACGTCAACGAACTCCAAGCCCTTCATGTTGACCAGGGCGTCGCCCAGCCTGGTCAGGCGGTTGTCGCGCAGGTCCATGCTGCGCAGGTTGGTCAGCTGCGCGATCTCGGGCGTGAGCGCCCGCAGCGCGCACTGCCGCAGGTCCAGGTAGTGCAGCCGCTCGGCAGTCTTGATAGCCTGGATGGTCATGTTTCCATACCCCGTGCCTCGGATCGTGAGCAGCTGCCGCGTCACCATCACCTGCTCCTTGGCCTCCCGCTGCCGCTGCTGCTGCGTCAAGAGGATCCGCCGCTCCAGCCGCGGATCCGCGCGGATGCGCTCCTTGATCGCCTCGGTGCTCTTCACCTGCTCCGCGCGCGCCCGCTTCACCTCCTCCTCGGTCCGCCCGCGCTTGGCGACGGCCATCCCCGTGCGCTCCTCCTCCTGGATGCGCAGCCGCTCGAGCTCCGCGTTCGTCGCGTCCGTGTCGACCCCCGCGGCGCCGCTCTGCAGCAGCCGCAGCCGGTCCACGAGTAGGCTCTTCCCGACCTTGGACTCCGCGGGGGTGTCCTCCGTGGGGTTGATCTCCTGCTCCGCGACGGTCTCGATCTTCTCCGCGACGTCGAGCGCCTCGAGGATGACCGTGAGGAGGTACGCGCGGATCGGGACGGCGCCCCCGGCCTTGACAAAGTCGGGCAGGTCGAGGTCGGGGTTGTTCTCGACGCTGACGTCGTTCAGGAGCGGGCAGAGGCCGAACGAGGGCGGGAGGTGGCGGAGCTGGTTGTTGTTGAGGTGCAGGACGCTCAGGTGCGCCAGCTTGTCCATGGCGTTGGGCAGGCTGATGAGCTTGTTGTCGTTCGCGAGGAGCATCGAGAGCTCCGGGAGGTAGCAGACCTCCTTCGTGAGCATGTAGAGCTCGTTCGCGACGAGGTCGAGCACCTTGAGCTGCCGGCAGTCGCAGATGCTCGGCGGGAGCGCGGTCAGGAGGTTGTTGCGGCAGTTGAGCACCTCCAGCGCCACGCACAGCCCGAGCTCCATGGGGAGCGTCTTCAGGCCGTTGTCCGCGACGTTCAGGACGCGCATGTGCTGCAGCTTGCCGACCTCCGCGGGCAGCTCCGGGATCTTGTTGCCCGCCAGCGACACCTGCTCGGCAAAGCGCAGCGTGCCGAGCGTGCGCCCGACGCGGCGCATGACGTTGTTCGACAGGTCGAGGACGCGCACGCAGCCCATGTCGCGGAGCTCGTGCGGGAACTGCTGGAGCTGGTTGTTGGCGAGGAAGACCTCCTCGACCATGAGGTTGTTGAAGGTGTGGGGGAGGAACTCGATGTTGTTGCCCTGCGCGTCGATCACGCGCAGCTGGTTGAGGTCCCCGATGTCCTCGGGGAGGTTCCGCAGGCCGTTGAACGACAGGTTGAGCTCCTGGAGGTTCGGGAGGCCCGCGCACAGGCCGTCGGGGATCTTCTTGATCTGGTTCCACGACAAGTCGACGACCTGCGAGTTCCGAAGACAGCAGGGCTGGTATCTCGGCGTGGTGGGCGCGGGCCGCCAGCAGCAGCCGACGCACGGTGCGCGGCTGCGAGCGCACGGATGCTCGAAGCACGGGAGCGGCCGCGGGGGCCGTGCGTGCCTCCCAGCGCGCGGGCTGACGACGCGGGGAGCGCGCGAGTTCAGGCACGGGCAGCTGGCGCGACACACGGGTGCCGGGCCGCACCTTGAGGTCGATGAACTTGGCCACGCTGGTCGGGAACGACGTGAGGTAGTCCTTCGTGCGCTCATACCGCGTCCCGTCCGCGGAGAGGTACTTGGAGTGGACAAAGTGTTCGGCAGCGGGAGCAGTGGGCCGACCTCTGGTGGTGTCCCGCCCGCTCGTGACCTTCTTTCCGATCTGCCTGCCCTTCCCGCCTAGCTTCTCGGGCTCAGGGTCGTTCACCTGCAGGACAGCAGGTGCGGGGCGGCGGGGCTAGGCGTGGCGCCGTAGGGGCACCAGCAGTCAAGGAGCCCCCGAGTGCACTGCGCACGGGCGCCCTCGCACGGTCTCGTGCCAGATCTGGGCGTGCCATGCGACGGGCTATCGTGCGCGTGGACGAGGGGGTGGATCGATGGCTGCACGCAGCGCAGTGCTGCTCGGAGTGCTTGTTGGTGCATGCGCGCAGCCTGCGCGCACGCGAGCGCGCAACACGTCGAGACCGGCGGCCGAGGCAGGCCCCTCGTTCGGTACGGCCGCCTGGAGCACAGGGGACGCACATTGAAGTGAACGTCGCTGCGAACGGTCCTCAAGTCCTTCTGGGACGACACATGAAGGGCCTCCACGTCGCCCCCGGCGCTCCTGCGAAGCCAGAAAGCGACCGCAGTCGAGTTTGATATGCGTTTGACACTCCCGTTGCAGACGCGGTCGTGGAGGGCCCGGCACTTGCACGCAAGGAGGGGGCCTGGAGCGCCAGCCTCTCAGCGCTGCCGTTTGCCGGCGGACGCGTACCTGCTCTCCGCAGCCCCCATCTCGGCCGCTCAAGACCGCTCTGTACCGCCTCGCGCGGTTGCACGGCCGAGCGAGCGCCCAACGAGCACTGGAGCCCTCTGCCCGTGGGCCTGCACACTTCAACGTGCTGCAAATCTCACCACCAGAGCCGTACCGTTGCAGCTCGGTACCCACGCTTGTGCCTGATGGCACGGGCGAGCGGCCCCGAAGGCGCCACGAGCGCCGCGCCTCGTGGTGACGCTTCAAGCTGACACCCCCTGGGACTCTCACGTCACCGGTCAGACGGACCACGCCGCAATCAACGTGCTGCGGCGCAGCGCATCTCGCCGTCGCGGCCCCGCTCCCGGCACGTCGTCCCCCGCGTCGCTACGTGCGCCCGCGCACAGCAGCACGTGCGACAGCGGCGCGCAAGGATGGCCGTGCCAGCGTCGCGTTCGGGCCGGAAGACGCAGTTCGGCCCCGCGCCGCCTCGCTGATGCCTGCGACGCGCCGGCTCGTGGCGGCCCGCAGGCGCCGGGGCGAGCGAGGCGGCGTGACCGCGTCTCATGCTGAGTGTGTGATGACGTCGGGTGGCCCGTGCCGGCGGTGCACGCTGGGCCTGCCACGCTGCCGCCGCGTCCCCGCCTGGCGCGTCCCCCCGTGCCGCGCGACAGCCGCGGCTCGTGGACGGCGGGTGCGACGTGCCTGCTGCTGTCGGGCTCCGGGGGCCAGGAGGCGGACACCCCGGCGAGCGCGCGAGGGGCGCGGTGTGCGTCTGCGGGGCGCGACGAGACGTCAGGGCCCCACTTCCCGGCGCGAACCCTCAGTTTCCGCGCACCTATCGTCCGGACGCACGCAGTGAAGATGTCGGTTACGAAGGAGGTCATCAAGCCCGGCGACGGGGCCACCTTCCCGAAGCCGGGCGACAAGCTCGCGATGCACTACACGGTGAGGCCCATGCCGGCCCGCGGGTGGCGCGGCAGGGGCACCGTGGTGCACCAGGGCCGCTGGAGACCCCGCGTCACTTTTTCGGCCGTGCGCCTCGTGTGTGGGTTGAGGTCGATGCTTGTGGCGCGAGCCGCCGGCTCGAAGGCGTGCCGCACGTATGGAGGGTGGGAGGCTCGGCTCACGTCCTCCCGCGGGCACGAGTGCCCGCGCCGAGCTGGCGCAGCGACACCTGGCTTCGCGGGCCGCAGAGCGAGCGTGCACGCGTGCCCCGCCGCACCGTGCGTTGTTTCATACGCCGAACGACCAATGCTCCAGCGCATCAGTCCTCGTGCGGACCACCCGCCTTCTTTCACCCTGCGGACCCCAGGCCGTCTCCCTGCCGGGCTCTCGCGCGACGCACGCGCCACGCTCAGCGTGCACAACCACCTCACACGCATGCTTCCACCTCAGGCCATCCGCGGCGCACCACGAGCGGCCGCAGCACCACTCAGTGCGACCGAACCGCTCTGTAGGGTAGTTTCATGTCCTCCCGCCACTTTCCGCGGCCCTGTCTGTCCTCGAGGAGCCCGCGCTCGCGTCCGAGTAGCCCACGAGCCCCCCCTACACCGCGCCGCGTGCAGGGCACCCTCACGGACGGCACGAAGTTCGACAGCTCGAAGGACAGGTGCGCAGCACCCTAGCTGCCCCACACCGCGCCCTCGCGCCCGCCTCACGCGCCCAGCGCGCCGACCGCCGCCGCGCCGCACCGCCTGCAGGGGCAAGCCGTTCGAGTTCAACATCGGCGTCGGCCAGGTCATCAAAGGCTGGGACGAGGGCGTGATCTCCATCTCCTCCACGCATCAACGTACCATCCACCTCGACGCTGACAACTGCCTCACAACTACGGCACCAGCGTTGTCCCTGCCCCCCGCTATCGCAGGCATGTCTCCGCGCCTCGGTACACGCGAGTATATCTACCAGACTCGCCTCCTTCTTGACGTTGTTTTGTTCCGCCGCGCCGGCGACACAGAGCACGATCATTGGAGACGCGCGGTGAACCATTGCACGGCAGCGAACATCGGAAAATACCTCTTCTCCCTCCATCACTGCGTGTCGCACATGCATCCCGATGCGCTTAACCTGGGTCTCGACGAGCCCTTCTTGGTGGACTCCAGCCGCGGCATGCGTGACATGGTGACCGCGTATCTACATGACAACCCACCACGCTCAGCGATACATGCTCAACAACCACCTCTGCTGCTGGGCGCCGACATCAAGCGGCTCTACACGCACATCCGGCACGAGACGAGCGCGGACCACGGGACCGGCCTCATCGACTGCGTCATCGAACACATCGACGCTGTTTTTGCACTGCATCCAGGGCAACACCTCCTGATCGACTTGCAACCCGCGTTTGACGCGAGGGAGACGTGGTGGTGGGTGGCGCAGCTGCCGGACGCGGACGGCATGGTTGGGAAATGGGCACCGAGCATCGAGCAACTTCATGGTCTCGTGCACATCCTCGTCAAACGCGCCTACGTGGTGTTCGGGGGCGTCGTATATCACCAGACCTGCGGTGTGCCCATGGGGCTCTCGGCCTCCCCCCACCTCGCGAACTGCTACATGTTCCGGCATGAGCTCGCGTTCCTCTGCCAGTTTCGCGACCGCTGGTTGAGCACTGGCGACGTCGCTTGGCTGAAGGTCTTGGGGTCTTTCCGTTATTCCAGGCGCTACATCGACGACAATTTCTCTCTCGCGAACGCACTGTACCGCTACTTCAACACCCACCCCCGCCCCCCCACCCCGCCCCCCGAAACCCCGTCGTCGATCGTAGATCTCATCTCTGGTATACATAACATGTACCCCCCCTGTCTTGAGGTCGAATTTGACGCCCCAGCGAACCCGCTCGACGGTGTCTCCTTCCTAGACCTCCGCGTGCGTCCGCATCCCGAATATCAGGGCTTCCTCCTGATCTCGCACTATGACAAACGCGGTCTGTTTCCTGAGAACATTCACCTCATACAGTACCCCCACGCTTCGTGTGCGCTGCTGCGACGACACCTTTACAACATCGTCCGCACCGAACACATCCGCGTGTCCAGCGAGGTGACTGACCGCGACAGCTACGTAGCCAAGATGTCGGCCATGATGCGCTACATGCGTACGCATCGAGGTTACTGCATGCGACAGGTCCTGGCGATCCACCGCGCCGCCTGCCGGACGCACCCGAGCCCGCATTTTGGCCCTGCCACGCCGGCGGGCCTGGCTGACCTCGTGCGTCGCCACGTGCAGTTTGCAGACCATACTGGCCAACCTGCTGACAGGGCGTGCCCGGCGCCCTGCAACTCGTCACCCTCATACATGATCCCGGCGCTGCGAAGCTGGCTCGGAACTATCCAGCCATGCCCGCACACATGACGCACTCTGTTACCCCCCCGATGTTGACATGTTGGCCATGCGCGTATTCCGTGGCCGCTAGACCGAGGTATGATCCCTTTTCGCATGACAGGCCACGCGCGGGGGACGGCGATGACGAGGAGAGCTGAGTAGCCGTCGGCGCGTCGCCACACAACGCGGACAATGCCGCAGACTCAGTCACCGCTGTCACCCAGCCGGCTGCCGACACCCCCTGGTACAAGCAGCCTAGGACGTGGACCAGCACTTCGGCGCGTCGGCTGGCGGGCGTCGTCCAGTACTCGCGCGGCTCGCCGCGTTGTTGCTGACGACGCCCGCCACTCACTCTAACTGATTGCAGGTCAGAGCCTTCCCTTGGCACATGATGGCACGCTCACATGGCATTTCGCGCGAGTACTCCTAGCACGCTGCCGCCTTGATCAGGACGATAGCACACCCGCATTTCGTTTCGTGCGCGGGTGGTCAATTACTACTCTGTGATGAAGATGTCGCTGGGCGAGCACGCAAAGCTCACCTGCTCGCCGGACTACGCGTACGGCCCGCAGGGCTACCCCGGCGTCATCCCGCCCAACGCGACGCTCATCTTCGAGGTCGAGCTCCTCAAGATCAACTGAGCGGCGACGATGTGCAGTGGCAACGGCGCGCGCGCAGCGGGCGTTCCGTGCGAAGTGTGCGCGGGCGCCGCCTGCACTCGCGCTGCTGCATGGTGACGCTGTGAGCCTGGACGGACACCGGCTGCGGTCTCACTCGACCGCGCGCGAGCGCGGACTCGGCAAGAGGCACGACAGCGCGACGTACGTTGTGGTGTCGCATCGAGACCGTGTCGCGTGGGACAGCGGGGGTGCTCGAACCGCGGGCCTGAGGCGCCCCGAGGGCCGGGCGTCGCGTTCGAGCCGTGATGGACACGCGTTGAGTACATGTTCGACGCGTGCAGACCAAACATCGCACGCACTCCGGGGTGGCTTGCTAGCCGACGCTGCGTCGCCCGGCCGCGGCTGGCTTGGGCTGTATTTACAAGTGCTGCGCGTGGCGCCCGCCCCTATACGCGCACGATCCCGCGGTCCCCGATCTCATACTGGTGCACGGCGTCGCTGCGAGGCTTGGCGAACTGCGCCAGCATCGGGGGCTCCCGCGGGGCGAGCGAGTCGCCGCGCTGCGCAGGCGCCTTCTGCAGCAGGACTCTGTGCGTCACCACGGCCTGCCAGCACGGCGGCAGCGTCTCCCGGAACGCCCACGACACAAGGGCGCCTTCGGGCTTGTAGCCCGGCCCCAGGGCGGAGCTCGTCGCGGCGACGGGGACGCACATCTCGCGCGCGATGGCCTGCACTTCGCGCGACAACGTCGCGTGCACCTGCGCAGGCGCCGCGGCGGGGACAGCACTTGTGTGCGGCTGCATGAGGGCGTGGGACCGCGGGCAGTGGCGCGCGTGCGGACGCGCTGAACGGACCTTGGCGAGGCTGAAGGGGGGCTCCTGGGTGTCTGGGCCGGGGGGTCCCGGCGGGTGCTTGATCATGCGGTCCGTGAAGTACGTAGACGAGAGTCCGTCGACTAGGAGGATCCCGAGGGAGTCTTGCTGCTCCTGGAAGCGCCTGAGGAAAGGCCTGAGCGTGCGGATGGCGGCGAGCGCCTGCCGCGTGCCGAAGCAGCGCACCAGGTGGAACTTGGAGCATGCCGAGGTGAAGGCGTGGCTGGGGGTGGTGGTTCCGGGGAGCTCGCTGGCCTTGCAAAGCCGGTCGACCCAGCTCACGACCTGCAGAGCATCCAGCCGCCCGTCCAGGTCCAGAAACACCGCGTGGCCTGCAGCACCAGGGGGCAAACGGCCCTGCGCTTGGACAACCATGACGTCCCGCGCGACGCCTCTGGCGCTCGATTTCGGCGCTTTGGCGCACCTCCCGACGCAATGGCTCCACTCGGGAGCTTGGTGCCCTTCGGCAGGACGCTCGCGAGCGCCGCCTGGAGCAACAGCTGGGTTTTCCCGCAGCAACCGAACCCGCAAAACTCGACGACCTGCCCGCGCCTGAGCGAGATGGTGTCGTCCACGAACGGGATCCCTGTGTACACGGGCTCGATGGATATCCGCGCGTACAAGTCCGCTGCCGTCTCGTCGTGCGTGGCGAACGAGACCGGGTCCGGCAGCGTGGCCGCTGCGTCGCCCTGCCGCGCGTCCATGCCTTCGGCTCAGCGCAAACAGCGGTCAGCTGGCTCCTGCCCTACATCACCATGCTGTCCAGATCCCACGACGGGCCGCCATGGCCCTGCGGGCTCGCAAGAAGCTCCGTGCAACTCACGGGACTTTTGCGCTGGACCTCGAACAAAGTAGATCAGGCGGAGCGGGCCACGTGCTATGGACGTGCAACGCAGAGGAGTGCGCGACGGTGTGCGCGGGCGGCCCGGCACGCGGCCCCATCCAGCAGCTGCACACACCCCCTGAAGGCACACCGCTCAGTCTGACGGCGCCTGACTCAGCGAACCCGCCAGTCCGCGTCCCCAGGTCGTCCCCGTCGTCAGATGCGCTCCGATGCCCGCTGAGCGCAACGGTTCCTGGCGCGATCAAGACATCAGTGGCGCTCGACCGAACATCGCGCGCCAGATGCACACACAGAGCACGTGACGCCGCTGCACCCGCGCGCCTGCGCAGGGTCTCATTGTCAGCGCAGGCCGGCTGACTCGATGGCGCTGTCGCCAACTCAAGGCGGGGGATCGAGGAACCGGGCGGCACTTCGAACGCGACCTGCTGATGTTGCGTCTACAACAGCAGCAACAGCAAGAACAGGCTCGTCTCGCGTGGCTCGCGAGGCGTGTAGGGAGCAGATGCCACGTCCGGCAGCGCGATACGCGTGTGGCGGGAGTGCAGCACCGCGTCAGACCACGTCCCTCGAAAACCTGAGTCGGCAGCGGTGTCTGTCCGCGGCCGTGTTGTGGCCCCTGAGCCTCGGCGGCTTCGTGTGCGCGAGCGAGCGCAGCAGTGCCGCAATCTTTCTGCGTAGCTCTTTCTGTCCTCACGTGCGGTTGTCTGCCATGTTCGCGTGCTGATGTCATCGGACACCCAGGCGCCGTCGGCCGGAAAAGGTGCGCCCTGCGAAGGAGGCTTGGTCCGCGTGACTCGTCGCGCCGCAAGCTGTCCTTCTGAACGACGGATTCCGTCGGACGACGCGACGTCCTCTGGCACGGTCAGTGCACGGCGGGCGCTTGAGGTCATGTGGTCTCTGATGACCTCACGGCCCCGCGGAGTGCGCACCACGAACCGCAGCCGCGCCCGTGCGGCGGGTAATTCGCAGTCGTGATCAAGTTCAAGGCCACGGGCGACGCTCCGATCATCAAGAACTCCGTCGTGAAGATCAACGCGACCGAGAAGCTCCACCGCGTGGCCGCGTTCCTGCGCGACCAGCTGCAGAAGGACAGCGTCTTCCTCTTCCTGCACTCCTCCTTCGCCCCGGCCCTGGACGAGACCATAGGCGCCCTCAACGCCGCCTGGGGCCAGGACAACAAGCTCGTCGTCTTCTACGCCCTCACCCCGGCCTGGGGCTAATCCCGCGCCCTCGTTCACGGCGCCTCCGCCCCTGAGCGCGGCGCGGTGAGCACGCGGCGCCTCCTCGGCATCGTGCGAGGCCTCAACGCGCACGCCGGGTCCCAGACCCCGCTCGCCCGGCCGGCGCAGCGCCCTGCCAGCACCACCGCGCACGCCCTCGGCCGACACCAGCGCGCTCTCGACGCCATGGCTCCCACCGCCGAAGGCTTCGCGGACCTCACGCGCGACACCTCGGCCGTCAGCGCCGTCAGCACCGTCACCGACCTCGGCGCCGACCAGCGAAAGACCCCCGGATGGTTTGCGCGCATGCGGCGCTCGCTCGCCTGGAACCGCACCTCCGAGTGGGAGCGCCGCGCGGCGGAGACCGACCTGCTCGCGGCGACCGGCGTCCCTCTGACGATCAAGGACGTCAAGGTCGGCCCTGGCAAGGAGGACTACATGCACACGATAGTTGGCGGGGACAGCGCGGCGCCGCCGGCCGTCGTGGTGCACGGGTACGCGGCGGGCGCGGGGTTCTACTTCAAGTCGATCCGCGACCTCGTGTCGCACTTCCGCGTGCACCTCGTGGACTGGCCCGGGTACGGCGTGTCGGGGCGGCCCGCGTGGCGCACCAAGGGGCGCGAGAACGTGGAGCGGTACTTCGTGGACGGACTGGAGACGTGGCGGAAAGACGCGGGCCTCGAGCAGTTCGTCCTGGTGAGCCACGCGCCCCACGCCGAATCCCCGCCATCACAGCGCAGCGCCGTCGTTGCGCGCAGCCCGTGTCATGTACAACGCTGTGGCGCGCGGTCCCTGACGTGTCGCGTCGCTGCCACGCGTGTGCAGGTCGCGCACTCCCTGGGGGGCTATCTCGGGGTTCGGTACGCCATGCAGCACCCGGAGCGCGTGTCGCACCTGGTGCTGGTGGGGCCCGCGGGGATGAACGCGGCGCCGGAGGACTGGAGCGTGGACAAGGTGAAGGAGCGGCTGAAGGCGAAGCCGTGGTCGATGCGGTCGATCCTGATCGACGCGTCCGTGAAGCTGTGGGACTGGGGCGTGACGCCGGGACACATCATCCGCACCCTCGGGCCCCTGGGGCGGCGCATGGTCGAGGGCTACGTGTCGCGGCGCTTCTCGCAGTACGGCACCGGGCTCACTCCGGTGCGTGCCCGTCCGGAGCGCCACGCAGGCAAATCAACGTGAACATATGTGTGCTGCGACACCTCCTGACCGATGCGACTTTCGTTCGAACCGGGTTTGCGTGCAGGAGGACGTGGAGGTCTTCAAGCACTACGTCTACCACATTCTGGCCGCGCCGGGCTCCGGGGAGCACGCGCTGCGGCACCTCCTGGCGCCGTTCGCCTGGGCCCGCTCGCCCATCGGCCCGGAGCTCGCGAAGCTGCGGATGCCCGTGACGTTCATTTACGGCGAGGGCGACTGGATGGACCCGGCGAGCGGGAAGAAGCACTGCGAGGCGGCGCGCGAGAAGCGCCCTCCGTTGAACGACGCCGACCTCAAGGTGGAGCTCGTGAAGCACGCGGGGCACTTCCCCTTCATCGAGAACTCCGACGGGTTCCGCGCGGCGCTGCTGCGGTCGCTCAGGGTGGACTTCGCGGAGGGGGACTCGTGAGGGGCCCGGGACGCAGCAGTTGTGATGCCCAGGGAGCAGCGTGCTCACTTGACACGAAATGCGACTGTGCTATCGTCGCGTGCGTGGTGTGCGGGGCGCCACGCAGAAGCGCTGTTACACGTCGCACCCATCGAAAGTCTGCCGCTTCTGCGTGGACGTGGCGGCATCGCCCGCCCCGGAGGACCTCCGCCACCTGCTGTTGGACTGCTGCGCCCCGGCGGTACGCTCTCTCCGGGAACGAGCGGGCCTGGCCATGGACTCGTCTGGGCAGCTCACGCTGCCACTTCCGCCAGCTGCTGATGCGCCCCTGTCTTCCACGGCAACTGTTGGACAGCGCCGCCGCTTCGCTCTCAACCGTCGGCTACGCCAGCACCTCGAGGACCTGTACGGCGCTGCAACACTCGACTCGGAAGCCGCTGCCAACGCTGCAGTGCGTTATCTTCTGAACCTGCCGAATCAGCGAGGCATGGCGATCTTTGCTCGTGGCATCGAGGATCTGCTCCAGGCTGACTTTGTCACAGCTGCCGAACCTGTTGCTACCATAACGGTGGGGGGTTAGCATGACTCGCCACCTAGTCGAATGATCTTTTCAGGTCCCAAAGCCTTATGGCTGACGACGCGAAGAATGTGACACCTCACCTCACCTCACGATGAGTCACGGATGGGGGTCGTTCGGCGCGCCCGTAGCGCGTGCGACCCCTGCGACGTGCGTGTGCTCGCTGCGGCGCGCTGGCTGGCAGGACCTGCTGCGATCGGGCCGTGATCGGCCGCCAGCGTTGCGCCGCCTAGAACCGCAGGCCCGTGGGGTACGTCTCGACGACCCCGCCGGACGTGGGCACCGGGGGCGGCGCCATGAAGTGCGCTGCAGTGCGCGCGTCAATGTACCCCTCCTCCCTGACGCCGTCCACGACGGGGGGCACCACGGACATGTCGCTCTGCTGCACGACCGACGCCGCGATCCCCAGGAACTGTCGCAGCGTCATCGAGCTGCAGCCAGGGCCGCGGGCGCCCACGATCGCTAAAATCGTGCACAGGGGACATCGAGCGCACGTGTGTGGACCGCAACAGCGCCGCGGGGCAGCAGCGTCAGGTCGGGCCCTTGCCTGCGGTAGCCGTCGATCTCCTTCATGGCCTTCCCAACCCCGTAGGCGAACTCGTCTACCGCGGAGATGCCCACTTCGCTGTTGTGCATGTGGCTGTGAGAGCTCTGCGAGCGCAGGCTGCTGGCCACCGCCGTGATGCCGGGCGCCCGGACGCCCGTCAGCATGGTTGCGGCCTCGCACGTGTCGACGAGCAGCAGCATCTCGCGGTAGCGCCCCGCCGCGTGCATGTCGTCGAGGGCCAGCCCCAGGTCCTCCGACAGGAGCATGTCCTTGTCGTGGAACTTCATGAAGCCCTTGCCGCCGTGGCCTGCACGTAGGGGCGCCGGGGACGGAACGCGTCGCGCGGGACGGCAGCTTCGATGCAGGCGGGATGCGGAAGTGAGGTGGAGCACTCGAGGCGCTGCAGGCGCTGCGGGTTTCGCAGAGTCAGGCTCAGCGGGCCCTCGCCTGTCATGTATACGATGACGTTCGACCCCGCGTGCGTCGGGAGACGCCTCGACATGGGCGTGCCGGGCGTCTGGCGCCCCGTGAGGAGGGCGAGCAGGCTTGCGGAGCTGACGTCGAAGCCCCTGAATTGAACACGCGGCCCTGCGCACCCCTCGACACCATACAAATCGTGTCCTGTGTACTGGGATCCCAGAATGCTTGACGTCGGCTCGCTAAACAAGCTGTTTGGCCTGCACAGTGGGGAGGCCAGCCGAGCGCCACTTGGCCACGTCCGGCACATGATCAATGACCGACATGACTGATAGCGATTGACTGACGTGGCGTGCAGCTCTCGAGCGCTTTGCTAGCGTGTGGTGGACAGGGTGATCACTTGAGGCAGGAGCTGGGCACGAGGGGGCGAACCTGGGATTCCGCGGATTGCAAGCTACTTCCGCCGCATCCAGTACGATGATTTGGTTCTCAGGAACTCCGAGCCGCCTCAGGTGGTCGTACAGGACGAATATATTGACCGAGTGCCTGCGAGTCGTTGATGGTTGCACAAACGCGCCGGGTCCATCCACGTCCGAGCATCAGCGCCCGATATTCAGCGCTGACACGACGTCTACAGTTATTTTCCTCCGAACCCGCCCAAATTCCTTTCATGGCACGTCCCGCACGCGACCCCAGCGCGCCCACATGCTGCTATTGCACCTGCCCGCGGACCCGCGTCACCCGGGCCCGCCGTGCGTGCATTCGATGGAATTCCGCACCTGTAGTTGAACCAGTACCTCGAGCCGTTCGCCAGCACCGCCCAGGTGTCCTTGTGCTTCCCCGGCGCGCTCTTATCCAACGCCGATGCTGCATCTACCACACCACATCGTGTCGCTGCGGCCACCAGCGCCACCAAAACCCACACCACGCACCGCATGCGGAATGTCGCACACGCCCAGACCCCAGAGCCGTCCCTCCAGCCCCCCCAGCGCGCGCACACCTCGCGGAACAACGCGCGCGAGCTGCGGGGTGCAATTCGCCCGACACGCAATGCGTACACCCGCGCCCGCCTCGGACCGACACACACGCCCGCGCGGATCCTCAGCACGCGGAGGGGCGAGGTCTGCCGGCGGCGCGTCCGCGGAGGCCCTCTCGGCCCGCCGCCGCGCCCTGACTCGACCCAGAGGCACTTCCCATCGGGATCCCCCCCCCGGGCGCCCTCGCGCTACATGGGCGCGCGTCGGCGGCCGCGGCGCGCTCGAAGAAAAGGCTCAAGCCAGGACACACCCTCCCGTCCCCCATCTTCCCCGCCGTCGCGCCCCCCGCTCGGCAGCAGAGGCTCGGCCCCCATATCCACCCCGATCGAGCCCGTGCGCCTCGCTCCTTCCGCGAGGACCCCCCGACCCGCCCGCTCCAGCGTCTAGCATGATCGCCAAGGTCCAGGCCGCGGCCCGCGCGCCGCTGGCGGCCGCCGCGCAGCCCCGCCGCGCTGTTGCAGCCCGCGCCTCGGCGGCGCCTGCCCCCGAGAAGAAGAAGCCCTCGCCGCTCGAGAAGGGCGGCACGCTCGCGGGCGACGCCGCCCTGGGCAAGGACGCGTCGGTGGCGACCAAGTCGAAGGCCACGGGGAAGAAGGCCGGCGGCACGTACATGCAGCTCACGGACGATGGGTACTTCCGCGACGACCGCTGGGTCGACGGCTGCTGGGACTTCGTGCAGTTCAAGGACGCCAAGACGGGCGAGACGAACTGGGACGCGGTCGTCGACGCGGAGATGGCGCGCCGGCGGCTGCTCGAGGAGTCGCCCATTCCCTCGCGCAACGACGACCCGGTGCGCTTTGACACGTCGATGGTGCCCTGGTGGGTCTGGGTGCGCCGCTACCACCTCCCCGTGGCCGAGAAGGTCAACGGGCGCGCGGCCATGCTCGGGTACGTCCTCGCGCTCGCGGTGGACAACCTCTCCGGCGCCGGGATCGCCGAGCAGCAGGACTCATTCCTGGGCAAGCTGCTGCTGCACGTCACCATCTTCGGCTGCCTGCTCATCCGCGAGACCAGCGCGATCGGCGACCTCAAGCAGCTCATCAAGGAGGCCAACTTCTACGACCAGCAGTGGAACGCGACCTGGGAGGGCGTCAAGCGCCCGTCCGAGACGGAGCAGTGAGCGGCGCGGGCGCAGCTGGGCGGCCTCTCGCGGCGCCGAGGGGGGTGTTCCCATGAAACCATGGGGCGGAACGCAGACGGTGATGGGTCAAGGTGAGCCTCGGACCGCAAGCGATGCTGCTTTGGCCCCTGCGGGGCGCCAGGCGATCGTCCTTATCCTGTTGGATGCTGTTGACCGAAGGAGCGCGCCACGCTCTGCATGGCGTGACCACGGTGTGTGTGCGGCGCGTCTGCAGTGCAGGGATCGTGGGGGAGCGCCTGCTGGGAAAGCAGTCGGCGCGCCGGCCGCTGACGCGGCTGTTCGGACAGATTTAGGAGCGCGGCGGCGATTGCCTCCTCCCAGGGGCGTGCAGGGGCCGCAGGACGCGCGCGAGCGCGGTTTCTTCGTCCGTGACACCTCTCACCTCAAGGTTCTCGTGTGTGTAACCTATGCTGAGCGATTACGGGGCTCGCTAGGTGTCGCCCGCGGTGCACTCACTGAACCCATCAGACGTCCACTCCGACGCAGTCCGGCCGCGCGCGGACGTCGTGCTCGGCGAAATCGCTTCTCTCGTAGCTTGCGAAGCCGCCGCCAATGCTCCGCCAGGCCGCCGCCCGGGCCCCCGCGTGCACGGCCTCTGCCGCCTCCGACACAACAGCAACGCAGCCGTACGACGACGCCGACCGACTCAGGCCGGCGCTCGCTGCGAGAAAGCAGTTCGTCACACCCCACGTATGTACAAGACCTCGGCTGCGCGACGCACCGCCCCGCACCACCCTCACCCCTGCCGCACCCCCGACGGCCCTGCGCCCGCGCTCTGGCGCCGCTGCGCCCCGGGGTCCTCCCTCGCCGCGGCCTCCGAGGGCACCCAGCCCAGCGCGTCGGCGGGGTGTCCGTCCGTGATGTCGAGCATGTAGTGCACAACCGTCTTCAAGTCTGCCAACATGTACTTGAGAGCTTTCGTCCACGTGGCCTCCCGGTTGAACGACACCTTCACCGTCATGTTGTTCACGCGGTCGCCCTCGATCGGAAACGGCAGCTCCAGACGCCTGCGCCGCAACGACCGCACGAGCACGACCCCGCGTCTCGCAACTGCGCACACCGCCCAGCAAGCCACGAACCGTCCGCGCGGGCCAGCGGCACCGCTCCCCGGCCGTCACCGCGTCTCACCTCACGTTGCCGCCCCCCGTGGGCGGCTCCTGCTCCGCCAGAAAGGTCGCGAACTCATTTAAACAAGTGAGGTAGCACACCATAGCGTGGTCGAACTTCCACGCCAGGATCTTCACGCGCGGCGGCCCGTACAGCGGGTACGTCGTCTTCCCGTCCACGATCTTCGACGTGCTGCCCATCGGCACCAGCCGGTACTTGGAAAAGGGCCGGCGCCACGCCCGCGCCATGGCGTCGAGCAGCGCCACGCACTGCCCGAGCCCGGCGTTGATCTCCTCCCACGGCACGGGCTCCTCGGGCGTGCGGCCCAGCCGGAAGCCCGTGATCGTCCCGAACGGCCCGTCGTACCAGATGTGGAAACAGTCCACGAACGGCCGCGCCTTGGTGAGCCGGTCGTGCTCCCGCTCCGCGCGGTTGATCTTCGCGAGGAGGGCGTCGCGCTCGCCGAGGTGCTCCTGCAGCCCCGCCTCGTACTCGAGAAGCAGGCGGTCCGCGGCGTCGCTCTCTTCCCGCGCGCGCGCCTCCTGCACCGACACGGCGGAACAAATGCCATATCCCGTCAATCCGAGACTCTCGTTCTCGACTGCGAGCAACACCCTCCTCCGGAGCCCCGCGCCGCACCCACGCGCGTCCCGCCCGCCGCGACGCGGCCCCCCACAGCAGCGCACTTGCGCACGCGACCGCCCCGCGCACGCACCTCCGCCGCCGTGTCGTCCAGCTCCTTGATCAGCTCCAGCTTGCGCTCGTGCAGCACCGCCAGTGCCGCCTCCTCCTCGCGGATCTGCGCCTCCGTCTCCTCCACATCGCGGTGCAGCGCATCCATCACCGCGGAGTCCGCCGGCATCGCCTCGAGGCGCTCCAGGGCCTGTTCGTACGCTCTGCGGGACGCACAGTCGAGTTTCAAAGTCTTCGGGCAACGCGGAAACTACGGGACGGCGCCGCGACGGTGAACGAGGTCTCGCGGGGCTCGGTCGTGGTCCGACGAGGGTCGCACGCGAGACACTGGGGGTTCAAGGTCCCGCCGCAGTCCTGAGCGGAGTGTGAGTCTGTGACGCCAACGCAGGGGCTCTTGGGGTGACGCGAGGCACCTGATGTCGTCCTTGGCCTCCTGGACCTCGCGCTCGAGCTCCTTGGCGAAGCGGGCCGCGCAGCTCGTGCACAGGGGCTGGTCGATGCCCGTCTCCGCGGAGGCCAGCTCCACGATGCGCGACAGCACGAGGAGATGCTCGTCCATTCCCGCGGCGGACATGAGGTCCCGCGACGCGAGCTCGACTGTGCGTCGTATTTCTGCAGAGGGGCGGGCGTGAGGGGAGAGCCGTGGGGCCTGAGCAGCGCGAGGCGCAGCTCTCGGGTGGGAGAGGGACGTGGTGCAAGTGGGTAGCCACCTGGGCTGATTTCGAGTCCCGAAATGTCTGGAGGGGTCAGCATGACGTAGGAGTCCTCCAAGGACTGGTTTCCATGGCCCTGCGCGGCCCCTGGGTGCCCGGGCAGGACAGAGAAGCCCTCAAGTGCACCAGATCCCGCCCCATGGTCGCTGACGTCGCCGCCCCCATGATCGTCGGGCTCCTGGCCCGAGTACTCTACAGAAACGTCCTTTCCGCACTGTTGGCACGTACAATGGGTCGCCTGGTCCGCCATGGCCACCGAAGGAGGGGCGCGCCAGCAACTAACGCCCGGCCCTGGCTTCACGGGCCGCTCTTCCACGACTCAACTCCCATCCCGCTCTTCTACCGGCCAGTATTGACGCGCGGCAGCCGCCGTCGGCCCCGAAATCGCACCACGTTGGACCTGGGCCCCTTGAATACACCTGACCTGACTCGACACACGAAACCATCGCGCCACGCGCGTCCACGAGCCCGCCTCTGTCTCACAAACTTGCCCGATGCACCTCACGCCCTGGCGAGCATGTTCGCCTGCGCGACGATGTCGGACGCCCAGTTGAGGTGCGCCCGCAGCTGCCGCGCGGCAGGGAACCGAATGTCGCGCGGCACGCACACGTGGTCCCGCACGTACGCGAGGCAGGGCCCCATCGACCACCCCTCGCACTCCGACTTGTCGCCGCGGGGCTCCGGCTCGGCCTTCAGCGCCGCAGGGCCGTCCTGCTTCGCCGACACCCCAACGATCAGCGCGTGCGTCACGTGCCGCAGCATCGCGTCCACGTCCTGCGAACTCGGCGGCGCCGCGCGGATGGCTCAGCGTACAGGTCACGGACGCGCCGCAGACAGCCAGGGCGCCCCAACGACGCTGGGAGCGGCAGACACAGACAAAGGCAGGATCGTATGGCAGGGGGTCGTGCAGCGAGCTGCGATCGCGCTTGCGCAGCCAGCAAGCTCAGTGAGGTCGCTCGCTGTACGATGCCCTGCTGTGCGATCCCTTGCTGTTCCGGCATCTGATCTCACTGACGCGGGCAGCGACGCGCGGGCACGCACCTCGGCCACCTCCATGTTCGGGATCGCGGTCGGGTCCGACAGCGGCGCCGACACCGGCTTCGGGCCCTTCTGCCCCACGCCGCGGCAGGCGAACTTCACCACGGCCTCCCTGTTGGCCAGCATTCGCGCCGCGGCCTCCAGCGCGTCGTGGCCCTCCGGACCCTCGCCAGGCGAGTACGCCTCGAGCGAGTCCGCCCCGAGCGGCTCGAGCGGCAGGCGCCACGACTCCGACGGCAGGCGCCCGTCGATCACCGTGGCGTAGGGCATGCCCTCCTCCGACATCCCACACCCCCCCAGCTGCGGCGGGAGGTCGTGGCAGTGCGCGTAGTGGTCGCTGCGCGTGCCCATGTACGTGCTGCGCTGCTCCATGGCCTCGAACCACTTCTCCAGCGCCGGGTACCGGCCCGTGGAGCGCATTTGGAACCCCTTGTAGTACAACAGCGACGACACCATGCGCTCCAGGAACGGCGCGAACTTGAAGTCGACCTGACTGATGGCCCCGCCGAGGAAGAAAGGCCCCGGGCTGCCCCACGTGTTCGGCGCGAGGTTGTCGGCCTCGGCCCAGCCGCCCGGGAGGATCTCCCCGTCGTTGGCGCGCTGCAGAGCCTCCTCGACGATGTCAAGGCCCTCGAGGAAGCGGCGGCGCTGCGGCGCGGGGTTGCCGTTGGAGCAGAGCCAGTTGAGCCAGAGGCTGAACATCTGGCGCTCGAGGCGCATGAGCCGGGTGGCGTAGGGCGCGAGGTCGCCGTCCGTCGGGAGGGTGGGGGGGTTGGGGTACTCGCGCTCGATGACGTCCATGATGAGGTCGGACTCCGTGATGACCTGGCCGTCGAGCTCGATGACGGGGAGGAGGCCGCCGGGCACCTTGGCCATGAACTCGGCGGGCTTGTCGCCGTAGCAGCGCATGTTGATCTTCTCCAGGACGTACGGCACCTGCTTCTCCTCGAGCATCAGCCAGACCTTCTGCGGGACGGCCGCGCAGACAGGCGCCACGGAGCGTGAGGCGCGCCCGACATCGCGCGACACGGGGCCGTGGCGCGTGCAAGGGTGTGCGAGGGCGCACCTGGCAATACGGGCACCAGGCGGCGTGGTCGCGGTAGAGCTTGATGCGCACGGACTCGCGGGGCTGGCCGAAGAGGCGCTCCATTGCCTTGGGGTTCGTGGGGCCCAGGCTGAAGTCGCCGTGGAGGTCGGCAGTTCCTGTCCATGGGTCGGTCCAGCCCAGTTCGGCGGCCCTCTGGGCGTGCAGTGCCTCGAGCTCACTCCACGAAGGTGCCGTGTCGCTGAAGACGACGGAGGTGCGGGGAACGCCCGCCTGCGAGCACGCACCGCCCGGAACGCGTGGATTGAGGGGAAAGCGTCTTGGGCCCCCGTGAGCTCCATTCGCGGGCGCTCAACGCAGACACGCGCGCAGAGCAGGAAGTCTGGCATAGTGCGGTGGCGTTGAGTTAGCTTCAAAAGCGAGCAAGCGGCTGAGGCGAGCTCCGGGGCGCAATGTCTGGTTTTGTAGGTGGGTAGGTCAGGGACCGCAGAGGCCGCTTGCCTTCAGGTCGTTGCTCGGCCTCGCGGGCGTGTTGCCCAGCAGCCGGTTCAGCATCTCGGTGATGTCCCCGGCGCGGGCAGGCGGCGGTCCGCGGAAGCTCCTAGCGCCGGAGGGCTGTCGCAAGAGGCCCGGCCGAACCCGTCCAGCCGCGGCGGCGCGAGGGCCCACCGATCGCCAAGCTGCCTGCGCGGCGCAGAGGTTTGAAACTCGCATCGCTGCCCCGCGGGGCGGTCGGCTCTATCGAGGACGCAGGAGCGAGGATCAGCTCGGCTCGTTGCTGTGACGCAGCCCAGCGTTCGCCTCTCGCGGTACGGGGTGACGCGGGCGGCACGATTCTGCGCACGGATGTGCCGGACACGGCGGCTGCCTCGCCCTGTATGCCCGAGCCGGTCGCGACAGCAGACGCGTCTATCGGTCGGACATGCATGCTCTGTCGGGCTGATCGAAAGGCCCCCCCCCCGGAATGACGCATTCGTCAACGGTGCCGTGTCGGCCAGGCTCTGAGTCGAGCGTCGACGGGCGCTCGGGGCGCCGTGGTCGGCGATGCGCACGCAGGTGCGACGACATCGATCGGGGGGGTCACAACGTGCGTCTCTTGCGAGGCGGAGCGTGCGCCGGGTTCGAGGACCACGGCAGCGATGCGGCGGAGCAGATCTGGGCGTGGGAACTGTGGGGGCGGGGATTTGGAGCTTGGGGGAGGGAGGGGGCTTGTTTGAGGGGGACATCATGTCATTCTTTGGGGGCGTTTCACCCATTCAACTAGCTGGCAGTCTTTGGGCAGGGCACCGGTGATCAACTGATCGGACATTTGCTATCTTGCGTCCCTGGAGATATCGCTCCCCGGGATCGAGCGAGGTTCATGAGGTGTAGCATAGTAGTGCGTCTCTGTCTGTCTTAGGTTGCAAAGTTGCGAACTCCCTTCAGGGCAGCGACGGCCCCCTCGCGCCGTGCACGCTGCGCATCGCCATCTGCGTGCTTGGGGCGAGGGTGGACTGCGCGTATCCCGACTCGAGGTCCGACCGGTTGGCCACGTCCCCGACGTCCACCACCAAGCTGCCCCACTGGCCCGGGGGCGCGTCCTCCGCCTCGTCCCGCGCGCGGTCCTGCCGCATCCAGCACGGCCACATCTGCCGGCCCATGCCGGCCCAGACCATGCCCACGACGACCTTGACGGTGTACGGCACCGGGCCAAACACCGACACCATGGCGAGAGTGAACGAGTCCAGCGCCGTGAGGTCCCAGTCGTCGCCGCGCTTCCCGCTCTCGTCCGCGATCTTCGCGGCCAGCATCCGCCAGCACGCGAACCCGAAGCCCAGCACGATGATCGTCAGCAGCCACAGCCAGAACACCAACGTCCTGCGGTCCTTGCGACTCAAGGCGCTCGCGATCCAGCCGATCTTGTCGATCGGTGCGAACGGCTGCGCGGGGCCGACGGGCACGGTCACTCCTCGCGGAGCACGCCGCTTGCACGTGTTGACGTACTTGCCGCTCTGCGACCTGGCGTGCACTGCTCGCTGCGCGTCCCGGGGCGGCCCGCCCTGGGCGTCCGATCCCGTCTGGGACCGCCTGCGAAGTCCTCCGCTGGCGGGCAGGCTGACAGCGGACGCCTCCGCGGGGGGCAAGCCGGCTTCGATGTCAGACGCGACGCTCGGGCCCGTGGGGATCGCGGCGACGGCGTTCAAGCGCCGATGTTCCCTGTTCGCGCTGTGGTCGGCGTACTCTCGCTCGTAGGCCTCCTCCTCCTCCATCGCGACCTCCGCGAGCACGACCTCGGCCGGACCCTCCAGCAGACTATGCACGAGCTGTCCCAGGAAGTCCTCCTCCTCGACCGGGCCCTCCGCCGGGGGGCAGGACTCCTGCATGTCGACGGCGCGCATGCCCGTCAAGGAGACGTCGCCGGGGCGCCCCTCGGGAACAACGATGCTGTCCTCGCCGCCACCAGGGTAGTGCGCTGACGCAACGCGGTGCTCATCGACCTCTCCGTCGGCCGTGGAGTGCTCCGCGGAGTCCTGATCGATGTCGTGCTCCCGCAGCGGCTCGAGACGGAAACCTTTCACGTCAGTCGGTGCTGCTGCGTTGATGTAGCCCCGTGTCAGGGGACTGAGGCCCGAGGTGCTGTGCCTGGTGCCGTGACGCAGCTTGTGCGGCGCGTAGGTGCTGCCATTGTCCGTGGCGTTGCGCACGACCGAGCCGTTCGAGCTCACGAGTCCGCGGGCGCCAGCTGCGCTGCCGCGGCGGAGCGGCTTCGTTGCAATCGGCGACAGAAGGCCCGAGCGACCCGCGAGCAGCGAGCCGCGGGAAAGCACGTGCCTGTGCAAGCCTCCCTGCCGCGCCCTCGCATCACTGCCTGGAGCAGCGATGCTCCGGGGCGAGAGCAAAGACTGCACCGAAACGTTCGAGCGACGCTTCTGCAGGCTCGCGACGAACGCCTCGGACGAGGCCATCGACACCCGGAAGGCTCCGGTCGGCTGCGGGACCCGCACTTTCCTCAGCACCCCCGATATCCGCGCCCTGAGGCTGTCGAGCTCCTGCTGGTTGGGGGGCGCCATGGCGTCGGGCTTCGGGTCGGTCGGCATCGACACTCTCCTTCTCGCGCCCGCGCCCGCCGCCGCGATGACGCCTCCGCCAGCGCCGTCCCACGTCTTGCGCCCCTTGTGCTCCCCAGCCATCTGCGCCTTGCGGTCAAAGCCTCCCTGGCGCTCGAGCACGTCGAAGCGAAGGAGCATCTCGCGGCGGACGAACTCCTGCGCCAGACGACGCTCCTCCGCGGCGACACGCGCCTCCGCTTCGATCGTACGCTGTGCCCTGCACGGCAATCAACGCCACGCAGGTGTAAGGCACAGTTCGTGTTGCAACGGGACAGGCAGAGTGCCCGTGCTGACAGCGCACATAAGCAGTCGGAGGGCGACGCGCACCTTTCAGCGTCCTTGACCTTCTCGCGCGTGCCCCAGGACCCATTGTGCAGGTTTGTGATTGCGTTCATTGGGATGACCAGACTGAACACCGGCAGGAACACGATGCCGCCCATGACGCCACCGACGAGGACCCGGAACCAGTGCATCGGCCGGCACCGGATGAAGATGGCCACCAGCAGCGCGCTCGGGATGGTCACCGCGACGAGCAGCGCAAAGTAGGACAGCCGGGAGAGCATCAGCCAGAGCGCGCTGGTGTACGCCGCGAGCCCGATCAGCGACATCGCCACCAGGAAGACGTAGTTCAGCGCCGACGCGTGGAACCGCGGGTTCCGCAGCATCAGCGCGCCCAGCACCACCATCACCGCCGCGAGGATCACGTAGATCATCGCGCCGATCGGACAGTGGTACGGCAGCCCGTACGAGTTGTAGGAGTGGTAGCGGATCGGGTACCCCGCGATCCTCTGGTCCGTGGGGAGGTCCGCGGTGGCGAACAGCGCCAGCGTCATCGCCGGCTGCAGCAGCACCCCGCACAGCAGCGACCACACCATGAACACGTACACCAGCCACCGCCACGAGTCCAGCCGACACAGCACCCTCCAGTTCAGCGCCAGCAGCACGTCGTTCAGCACCGCGCTGTTGTACCACCGCCGCCGCTGCACCAGCAGCTGCCGCCACGTCTGCGGCACGTGCGTGTACGCGACCGCGCCCTCCACGTACGACGTCTCGTGCCCCGACATCAGCAGCAGCGTCGTCAGGTACCGGTCCTCGCCCAGGTCCAGGCAGTTGAGGCTGATCAGGTCGCCTGCGCGCGTCCTGGTGCTGTAGGCGGGCCAGCAGTCCTTGACGGTGCCGTACCGCAGGATCGAGAACGCCCCGGGCATCACCAGCACGCTCTTGCACGCCGCGAAAAACTGCACCAACCACACACAACGACCGTGCACTCGACATCTCTCACCGAGCACAAAGCTGTTGTTGTTGTTGCGGTGAAGCTCCGCCCAGGGCCGGTCAAGCTCCAGGGGCGGCGCCACGTACCGACTTGTCGATGATCCCGCTGATGGTGTACTCCCACACCTGCGCCGCCACCGCGTCCACGTACGGGCTCACCACGGAGTTGGCGGTGAAGTTCAGCGGCAGCACCTGCCCCGTGGCCGCCGCGCACGACGGCTCGGTGTCGAGCTTGTCGATGAGCTTCTTCAGCGACCCGCGCTCCATGCTCGTGTCGCTGTCGCTCTGGAACAGCGCGTACGGCTCCCACCCCTGCGCGTGCCGCCGGACCTGCGTCATCTCGTAGTAAAACAGCTGCGAGAAGCGCTTCCCGCGCTTCAGCCCCGCGCGCTTGATGTACAGCCCAAACGGCACCCCGCAGTACCACCCCCGGTACACCCGGAACAGCCGCGTGTCCACCACCTCGATCTTGCTGGTGGCGCCCGCCCACAGGATGCCCTGCAGGCCCGCGAGGGTGGGGTTGGAGGCCTCGGGCTGGTCCTCGTCGTGGCCGTCGAGGATGATGAAGAGCTCCAACCGCCGCCGAACCTCCTCATCCTGCGGCGTCGACATCCGAGAGGCATATGGTTGGCATCTAGGTGGGACGCTCAGCCAGGCGCGGTCGAAGTCACCGACGTCCAGCGGATCATGTGCGGTCGCTGTTGATCAGCAACAGCCGCACGCATCATTGTCAGCGGCATTCGAGCCCTCGCGCGTCCGCATTCCGCGGTTCAGTGCACTCGAGGTGCGGCGTGGAGCGCCACGCGCAAGGTTGCCTGTGGCGCGGCAACTGGCCGTGCGTTCCTCTGAAATACATGCTCGCAACTCACCCGAAGCTGCGTCGCGGTGTAGCAGCTCAGAGAGAGCTTCAGTTCCTGCAATTGTGCGGGCCGCGGCAGTTGGCCAGGTGAGGGACACGCTCGCCGCCACGGGCAACAACGTCGAGTTCTGCGCGCCCGCACCGCACGTCGAGCGACCTCATGCTGCAAGGGGGCTGCTGACCTCGGGGTCTTCGCGATAGGCTGGGATTATGACGGAGACGATGTCGCCCTCGTCCCGGCGCGTCGTGGGCGGGAAGAGCGCCTCCGACGGCGGCAATGTGCAGCTCTCTGCGTCGCACCTCGGCGCGCTCGCCTGGGCTGGATACATTGTTCCCGCAGGCGTGCGCCGTGCTCGCGAAACCGTGCTCTAATGGCTCGAATCGCCGAGGGAACCCAGGGGTGGATGCAAGGTCACCGGCGCCGCCCTGCACCGCACCGTGGTGTGCCGTCTGTTAGCGCACCCGAATCTCGCTTGTCGATACACGGAGACGCTGTTGCGCTGCAGTCGAGCGCAATGCGTCGCTTGAAAACGGTTGGGCGGGCCCCGCGCACCTGTGGCCAGTGGGTGGAGAATGTGCCGCGCCTGCTGAATCTCCAGAACACCGGAGCGGTCGTCCTGCCAGACGTCGCATGTAGCGCTGACGGGCGAGGCAGGGCGCCCTTGAAGGCGACGCTGAACGGCACGGGGCGCGTCGGCGGGGTCCCCCCAAGCGCTTGAGTCATGGAATGAGGTGATGGGCGCTCGCAACCAGTTTCGGGTCAAATCGAGCAAGAAAATAACGGACCTTGGCGTTGATGTATCGTGGAATCCATTTCCGTGTGAGGTGATGGAATATTAGGCTTGTGCCGCCGCCGGAGCCGGCCTCTGCACCAGGGGTCACGCACATCGCTGCGCACTGGACAAGGAAGAAAAGGATGATTTAGTTGACGTTCTGTCGCTTTGTATCATGACGGCTCCCATTTCAATCGTTAGCGACGCATAAAATTAACGCGAGATCCCGAATTAGGAACGGTGTAGTTGCGAGTGACACGACATCTTCGCCGGGCCACAGCGCCGGTATCGGGCCGGCGCGCGCAGCCGGCCCGGTGAGGCCCATCGTTCCCACGCGTCCCGCTCACATCGCTGTACCAGGCATCGATCACAGTCGCCGCTGATGCATCCACTGCAGCACACGCGCACGAAGCAGGCAGTCCGAACAGCCCCCGCCGTCCGCCCCGACGCACGCCACCTTCGCCTTGTCCCAGCCCCGCGCGTGTCGCACCGTCTGTCAGTGCTCCGCGCTGCCCGCCGTCACCCCATCACTCCCCCCCTCGCCAGCCTCCAGGTCGCCCGTCACCTCCGCGATGTCCCCCACGCCCACCACCATGCTGTCCGCCTCCGTCTCCTTCGCACGCTCGCGCCCCCAGCACGGCCATATCTGCCGGTTCGCAGCGGCCCACACCATGCTGATAATAACTTTGATGGTGTACGGGACCGGGCCGAAGACCGCGATCATGAATACCGAGAACAGGTCCAGCGGCACCGCCTCGGCGCTGCGCGCGCGCCCCTCCGTCTGCTTGCTCGCCCACATCCGCCAGCACGCGAAGCCGAAGCCCAGCACAAGCACCGTCGCCAGCCACAGTGCAAACACCACGGATCGTCGGGCCCTCCGGGACAGGCCTCGCACGGTCCACCCGAGCCTGTCGATCGGCCGGAAGGGCTCCGAGGGCCCGACGGGCACGTACACCCCTCTGGGCACGCGCACCACGCGCTGGTGCATTGGCTGCAAGCTCACGTCCTGAGTTGCGTCCTCGTCGGTGTCCAGCGTGACGCTGTCGGCGAAAACCGGGGTCGGAGGGAGCTGGACTACGCCTCGGAGGCTCGGATCGGCGGGGCGCCCCGGGTCTGAGCCCCGCACGTCAGGTCGCTCCTGGAACCTGACGCGTGTCAGACGGGCGGCGCCCGTCGTGGTGGTCGGCACTTGCGGCGCAGGACTCTTCGCGCGGTCGCCGGTGCTCGCCAGCATGGGCTTACGCGGCGGCGCAGAGCGGCCGCTGCGCGGCCCGCCGCTGCGCGGCCCGCCGCTGCGCTGCCCGGCGCCGCTCAGCAGCATGCTGCGGGCAGCGTAGCTGGCAGCGTAGCCGGCGCTGCGGCGGAACCGGCGCTCGTACGCGGCCTCCTCCTCCATCGCAACCTCCCCCAGCATCTGCTCTGCGGGGAGCTCAAGCAGGCAGTGCACCAGCCGGCTGAGAATGCCCTCAGCATCCCAGCCGCTCTCGAGCGGCGCCGCGGGCTTCGCACGTCCGTGGCTGTCCGGGCGCGCCGTCGGGGTCGATCTGTCTCGCGGCGGGTCCCCCGCCGCGGAGACCTCCAGCCGCGCCGGCCTTTGGGTCCCTTCCCTGAAGCTTGCGTTCGGACGCGCCGATGCAAATGCGGGCGCCACAGGATGCTCCGCCTCGCTCGACGAGGTCGCAGCCTGGACCTCGTTCATGCTGCTCTCGTGTAGCGTTTCCAGCGGCGCTGCTCTGACCATCCCGGGGCGGCTCTCGAGGCCGGGAGACATGAGCTGATCTGCATCAGCAAGCGCGTCGCTCGGGCGGCTGTCGCGGGAGCGCCGCGCCCCAGCTGCGCTGCCTCGACGGAAGTCAGTCCCGGTGGAGGACAGCAGGCCCGACGCGCCGGTGAGGAGGGTGCCCTGAGAGATGACTCGCGCCGACAAGGCTGCACTCAGCCGCGGCGATCCCACGAGGTTGAAGAACTCCGGTGTCTGCGAGGTTGGATCCGGGGAGTCGCGCTTCGCAGAGGCGTCGGTGAGCCGCCGTTGCTGCAGGCGCTGCACGAAACCTCTCGCGGAGCCCAGCGACACGGCAAAGGTGTCCCCCGAGTTCGACTGCGGCGCGGCCGCCTGCGACAGCAGCGAGATCTTCTTCGAGATCTTCTTCCGCATCGCTGCGAGCTGCCTCGGCCCAGCCCCGAGAGACATGACGCTCCTGCCATCCCCAGGCGAGGAACCATCGACGTCCGCGCCTTTCTGCGGCGCGGCGCCGCTGCCAGCCTCGTCAGCCGTCCCAGCTGGGCTGTGACGGGCAGAATCACCGCCGGCCCACGTGCGCGGGCCGGCAGCAGCAGTCACCGCGTGCTCTCGTTCGAGGACCTGCAAACGCAGCAGCATCTCGCGCCGCACGAACTCCTGCGCGAGCCGCCGCTCGTTGGCTGCAAGGCGCGCCTCCGCGTCGATGACGCGCTCGGCCCTGCAGGAGCAAGCGAAACGCACGCCGGCCAATCAGCAGGTTGCGCCAGGCAACGCTTGACGTGCCACCACACATGTGATAACGAATATGATCCGATCCTGCGGCAGGCGCGTGCTGCGCAGCGCTGCGCGTCGAGTGTGAGTGCAGGGTACAGGTCCGCACTTCTCGGAATCGGTTGGCTTCTCGCGCGTGCCCCAGGACCCGTTGTGCAGGTTTGTGATTGCGTTCATCGGGATGACCAGACTGAACACCGGCAGGAACACGATGCCGCCCATGACACCACCGTAGAAGACCTGAAGCCACTGCTGCGGCCGGCACCGGATGAAGATGGCCACCAGCAGCGCGCCCGGGATGGCCGCAACAGCGGCCAGAGCGTAGTACGACAGCTGCGTGACGAGCAGCCAGATCGCGCTGGTGTACGCGAGCAGGCCGACCAGCGACATTGCCACCAGGAAGACGTAGTTCAGCGCCGACGCGTGGAACCGCGGGTTCCGCAGCATCAGCGCGCCCAGCACCACCATCACCGCCGCGAGGATCACGTAGATCATCGCGCCGATCGGACAGTGGTACGGCAGCCCGTACGAGTTGTAGGAGTGGTAGCGGATCGGGTACCCCGCGATCCTCTGGTCCGTGGGGAGGTCCGCGGTGGCGAACAGCGCCAGCGTCATCGCCGGCTGCAGCAGCACCCCGCACAGCAGCGACCACACCATGAACACGTACACCAGCCACCGCCACGAGTCCAGCCGACACAGCACCCTCCAGTTCAGCGCCAGCAGCACGTCGTTCAGCACCGCGCTGTTGTACCACCGCCGCCGCTGCACCAGCAGCTGCCGCCACGTCTGCGGCACGTGCGTGTACGCGACCGCGCCCTCCACGTACGACGTCTCGTGCCCCGACATCAGCAGCAGCGTCGTCAGGTACCGGTCCTCGCCCAGGTCCAGGCAGTTGAGGCTGATCAGGTCGCCTGCGCGCGTCCTGGTGCTGTAGGCGGGCCAGCAGTCCTTGACGGTGCCGTACCGCAGGATCGAGAACGCCCCGGGCATCACCAGCACGCTCTTGCACGCCGCGAAAAACTGCACCAACCACACACAACGACCGTGCACTCGACATCTCTCACCGAGCACAAAGCTGTCGTTGTTGCTGTTGTTGTGGTGGAGCTCCGCCCAGGGCTGGTCACGCTCCAGGGGCGGCGCCACGTACCGACTTGTCGATGATCCCGCTGATGGTGTACTCCCACACCTGCGCCGCCACCGCGTCCACGTACGGGCTCACCACGGAGTTGGCGGTGAAGTTCAGCGGCAGCACCTGCCCCGTGGCCGCCGCGCACGACGGCTCGGTGTCGAGCTTGTCGATGAGCTTCTTCAGCGACCCGCGCTCCATGCTCGTGTCGCTGTCGCTCTGGAACAGCGCGTACGGCTCCCAACCCTGCGCGTGCCGCCGGACCTGCGTCATCTCGTAATAAAACAGCTGCGAGAAGCGCTTCCCGCGCTTCAGCCCCGCGCGCTTGATGTACAGCCCAAACGGCACCCCGCAGTACCACCCCCGGTACACCCGGAACAGCCGCGTGTCCACCACCTCGATCTTGCTGGTGGCGCCCGCCCACAGGATGCCCTGCAGGCCCGCGAGGGTGGGGTTGGAGGCCTCGGGCTGGTCCTCGTCGTGGCCGTCGAGGATGATGAAGAGCTCCAACCGCCGCCGAACCTCCTCATCCTGCAGCCACAGTCCCGGGGGAGCCCGATTCGGATCTTGGAAGACAGTCAAGGCCGCGCGCGTCACGTGGGGATCAGCTACGACGCGCGCGAAGTGGAGCATCACCGCACTGACCGGCATCGCCTCTTCCGTGTAGCATCCGAGAGAGCCCTTGAGCTCCTGCGCAAGGAGGAGTAGCGCAACGTCGGTGGGCAACAGCATCGGCTGCCCGCACGTCACGAACGCGCGTCCGCTCCAGGTCGCCGTAGGCGAGGTGCCAAGACCAGACGGCGCACCTCGGGGTCCTCGCGGTACGCCGGAATGATCACGCTGACGACGTCTCCAGCTGGGCCTCGCTCCGTGGGGGGGAAGAGCGCCGCGGAGGCCGGCTCCAGGCACTTTTCCGCCTCTCCTACGAGCTTCATCGCATCACAGATTCACGTTGCTCCCAGAAAGCCACGAATCACGCCACCATGTCCCCGGGACCGCCGGGCCGCGGCCTGTCTGAGTGCGAGATCGCAGGAGCCATCCCTTCCCGCTGCGCGGCCGCCGTCCTTCCTGGCAGCGACGAGCGGTCTCCCTGTCACACGCCATCTGAGCGCTCCACGCACGGCAGCGACACCTCGAAGCGGCCGGGCCGTGCGGGCCCGCTGACACCTCCACAGTCGACTCAACTTTCAGTGAGCGCGGCTGCCAACTGGTGGAATCGTTCCAACTCTACAAATGCGCGGAGACAGCGCCTTGCCACGAGTCGCAGGGCCATGGAACGCTCGTAAATCGATGATGCGTCGCCGAAATTGTGTCGGCCCAACATAACATATCATGTTGCAACTCTTCCGTCGAAACGAAGCCTCGAAACGACAAGTACCCGGCTTCCGACACCAACAGCGCGGCACCGACGTGGCTCTCGCTCCGCTCGGGGACGGGCAGCGTGGCGTGCGCGCATGCGAGCCGCACGGCCTCACCCCAGGGACCGGGCCCCGTGGCTCCCGGCGCGCCTCCGACGAGCATGCACACAGCAGGCGCCCCGACGATCACACGCGCCGCGCCCCTCTCGCGCCGTCCGGCGTCACTTCACGTTCGCAGAGAACACGTTCCCTAGCTTCTCTTTGACGTCGTGATTCGGCCACGAGAACGGCCGCGCCATGTCCGTCAGCTGCTTCACCACGCCGCGGCGGTGCTCGTCGTCCTTGAGGTTGCGCGAGATCCACGCGTCGTGGGCCTCCGTGTCCTCGCACCCCGCGCGGGCGTCTGCGTCCCGCGCCCAGCGGCGGGCGTCGTCGAGCGACGCGCCGGGGGCCGGCGTGCCGACGGCGGCCATGACCGCGCGCTGCATGGCGATCTGCCCCAGCGCCGGGAGCGTCCGGCCCCTCGACGCGATCTCCGCGAGGGCCACCGGCGACGGGGCGCCGCGCTCTCCAAGCGGAAGATTCAGGGTCCCTTTCTGGTGGTTGTACTGCAACGCACACCACACAACGCCCACGACGATCAAGTCGAGACATATGCACATGGTGTGGCGGCGCAAGCAGCTTGGCCCGCGCGCCAGACGGCCCAGCGCGGGCGATGTGCACTCCGCGCACCTGCAGCACGGTCTGCAGCGCGGCGCTGGGCGCCTCGCCCCTGTCTTGCGCCGCGAGGGAGAAGCCGAGCTTAAGGTCGACGTCGTTGAGCTGTACGAGGTGGTACGCGCCCTCCGTCTCGTGCATGCGCGCGAGGGCCGCGTCGTCGAGGAACGTAACAAACAGCTGCGTCGTGCACCCCGGGGCGTGCTCGAGCGTGGCCGTCGCGCTCCCGTAGGACGAAATGAGCGGAGCGTACACCACGTCGAGGTCGCAAAGTAGACTCTGCGCGCACCGGCCGGCACCGGGAGCTGCTGTGTTGGTTGCGCTTCACGTGGCGAACATGCCTTGGAATTCCGGCGCTGCGGCCGCGTAAAGCCTGGCCCCGCTGCAGAGCATCGCACCTGGACGACTGGGATGACGACGCCGCCAGGGAAGAGGTCTCTGGGGTACTTTCGGGCCAGCTGCGCCACCCCTGCGTTACTCCCGATGGCGAGCACGGGCGTCCAGCCTGCAAGACGACCGCCGCGCACGGGCAATGAGGCTCGTCGCACGGGCAGTGCTCGGTGCGTGCAGGATCTGAAGGCGGCATCTCTCAGCAGGTGGTCGATGTGGGTGAATTTCCCCTGTCAGGGCGACGCGCGTTGGGTGCGGCGGGTGCCGCGCTCTCACCGGATTCGTCGCTGGGAGGCTCCCAGGTGATGTCGAGTCCTTTGCACACGTCGCGGACCGCGCATTCCGCGCCGGTTGTGGGGTCGCTGACCTGTAGGTCCAGCAGCCCGGAGGTCCCAGGCCAGGTGGCGTCAGGGAAGCAGTACGCGTTCCCGTTGATGAACACGAACGAGGAGTCCGGCCGGTCGTACGGATACCCTTTCGCTCTTGCGAGCTCGTCAGGCGAGGCCGTTGCAACCGCCTGTGGCGCCATCCTTCCACCCGCCCTCCGCTGTCCTGCGAACAACAAACGACGGCGGCCGTGCCGGAAGTGCGGCAGTGTGAGCCTTCCGCCTCGAATCCCACCGGCCGTAGTCTGGCCTCGCCCTGCTGAGGCAACACGGGCTCGAAGCAGCAGCAGCTTCACCTGTCCGCGCTGGACGTCGCGATGGGCCCGAGCGCAGCTGCTGAGCGACGCGGCTTGTCAAGAGCATCCAGAAGCGACAGTGGGTCGGGCGCTGGCCCGGTCTGGTAGCGGCAGCGCTTGCAGCCGCGTCCAAGCGAGATCACGAATCACGGTCGCGAGCCCTGAACTGAGCGCTCACGGTCTGCCGGGCTTTCATGGCAGGTCGCGTCGCGAGGACCAGCCAATGCGCCGAGGCAGAAGTTGGCCAACACCCCCCCAGGAAGGCCTCCATCCGTGCAGCGTCATACCTCCCGGGCCGTTTCGACCCGACGCGAGGTTGTGGGCGGCAGCCTCATACTCTCCCCCGAGCGCTCACAACTCACGGCGGCCCTGTGAGGAGCCGCCGGGCACTGCACCCGCCCGACTCCGCCTCCCACGGCCCCGCGTCTGCGTCATCCGCCATCACGTCCGCCCCGTGCAGCTGCACGAGGCTCCCCTGCAGCTCCCGCAGCTCCGCCGCCCTCTCCGCCGCGCGCGCGCGCGCCGCGTCGTCGCCTGCGACGTGCGCCGTCCACTCCCACGCGCTCGCCAGCGTCGTGATGCACGTCGTCGTGGGCACGATCCCCGCCGCCGACATGTCCGCGAACACGCGCTCCGCGTCGTCCACGCGCTCGGCGGACGCCAGCGCCGACACGACCAGGCGATATACCGGCCCGTGGAGGCGGACCCCGGCTCGGCGCGCGTGTTTGTACCACCGGAGGATCTCGTCCCCCCTCGCGTCGTTCCGGTCCGGCCCGGCGTGGTCCTTGGCGTCGCGGATGCACGACAGCACGGCCCCGGCGAGCGGGCTGGTCGCGCGGGTGTCGCGCGGGAGGTCAGAGGCCAGCTCGTCGAGCAGCAACAACACCGCCGCCATGGATGCGCTGGCGCGGGCGGCGGCGACGCAGAGGTGGACGGCGGTGCGGACGTCCGGGTCGGTCCCGGCCCCGACGACGCGCCGGCGATACCAGTCGAGCGCGGCCGGGAGGTTGCCCTGGCGGCCGTACACCGACAGCAGGGCGTTGTGCACCTGCGGCGAGAGACGACACGGGGGGCTCGCAGCTCGCACAGCGCCACGCATCGAGCCGCCCCCGGGGTCGCGGTCGCAGCTGGACTCGAGCCCAGATCAAATACATTCAAGCGCGAGTCACCAGCGGGCTTGGTTTCGCACCTCGAGGGTCCAGGGGATGCCCCACGCGTCCATGTCGCCCACGACGTCCTCCGCAAGAGCGACCTCGCCCACGAGCGACGCGAGGTGCAGCACGTGCGACATCAGCGGCGCGTCCGGCCGCAGCAGCTTCGCCGCGGTGTCGACGCGCATCGAGGCGTACACCGGGCGCACGGCCGCGGCCATGTCCCCGGCGTCAAGGGCGCGCAGGACCGCGGCGTACGTGTACGTGTCCAGCTCGACGTTGCCGATCTCGCGCTCGAGCTGCATCACGCTCAGGACCGACAGAGCCTCCTGCGCGTTGCCGTCGATAGCACACCGGTGCAGCGCGGCGTTGTACGTGCGCGCGTTCAGCTTCATCCCCGCAGCCTTCGCCGCGGCGAGGAAATCCAGCGCGTCCTCGAGCGGCACGGACGTGTCCAGGCACGCCGCGTTCATCGCCGCGCTCGCCGCCACGCTGCCAACCCGCACCCTCGGCACCCCCGGCGGCGGCCCGTCGTACAGCACCGACAGCGGGCCCGTCGGGGCTGCGCCCGGCACGCCTGCGCCGGCCGCTGCGCCCCCGCGGCGCGAGCCAGCCTTGAACAGCGCGAGGCAACCACGGAGAGCCTCACTGGCACTGCCCGCGCGCCCGAGCGCCTCGAACCACATGGCGAACGTGTGCTCGTTCGCGCGGCCGGCGCGCAGCATCCACGTGACGAGCTCGCGCGCCTCCATCACGCGCCCGTCGCGCCCGAGCTGGCGGACCGCGTGGTTGAGCCGCGGGGTGGGATGCTGTGGCAGCTCCTCGTCGTCCGGGGGGGGCCGCCCGACCTTGCGCACGTGGGCCATGATGGCCGCGATCTCGTCCCAGTCGGCCTCCTTGCGCACGTCGCGCCTGCGAGGGAGCGCGTGCGGGGGTTTCGTGTTGCGGCGGAGGGCCGGAGCGGCCCGGAGGGAGGCGAGAAGGGGGGAAGCGCGCCGCTGGCTCACCGTCGGGCGCCTCGTCTTCGGCGATGCGGCGGCCCCCTCGCCGGGTCGACGCTGCGGCGCCGCCGCGCCTGCGACGACGTCGCCCGCCCTCTCGGCCCGCCTCGTGTGTCCGCAGCTTGGGCAGATACGCGCGAACGGCTGCGGCCACGCGTAGTGGACCCGCAGGCAATGTCGCCCCTACGTGCGGCTGCCAGCCTGCGCGGCGCCCCGCACGACACGGGGGGTGGCCTTGTGCACAGGTGCTCGCGCCGCGCAACGACCGCGAAGAGCGTGCCGTGCACCCGCCGCGCAACGCCGCTGCACAGCCCACTTCGCACGGACCGATCCCTGACGAATGCGCCGCCAGATGCCGCCCCCCCGCGCCCACCGCCGGCGCATCTCGACCCGCTGGCCATGGTCGTTATCAGTGCGCAGCCACGCGACGTGTCACGGAGCCGCAACCATGGTCCCGTGGCGCGCACTGCGTCAGCGGGTCCGGGGCGCGGCCGCTTGTCCCCCCGCGGCTCCGCTCGGGTCCGCCTGCGGCCTATATGTCCTACCAGGGCGTGACCTGGCGTCGGGGTCCGTGCTCGCCGCACATTGCTCCGGCCCGCCGTCCAGCGTGGCACTGTCCCAAAACTTTCCGCGAGCCGACGATTTCCTCGCGCTGCAGCACCCGCGGGCACCCGGCGGTCGCGCAACGACACGGTGGAGGCACAACCGCCTGGTGCGCATCCCCGCCCGCCTGCTCGCCGCTCCTGCGCTCCCGACGCCTACGAGGGCGACCGATGACGCTCTGCGCACACCGCGACCCCGCTGCCGCCCGCTGCCCGACAGCACGCCGCCGAGGGGCGCGCGCAGCGCCACACCGTGTGACGGTGGCCTCCTTGGTGCACCGCAGGGGCGCACGCTCCTCGTTGTGGAGCCACGGGCCTCTCTGGACGTCGCGCTAGCTTCCCTGTGACCGGTGCGACCCCGGCGGGCGGACTTCCGGGGAAACAACGGCAGGACGCGTCGTGGAGCGGGAGGTAACGTCGCAGTCTGGAAGAAGCCAGGAGGGTATGCCTCTCGCCGCGGCCCCCTCGATCGAGGGCGCCACTTCGGGGTACTCGGACTCGTCGCCGGGCACGACGCAGCACTCCGCGCGCGCGTTCCACCACTCAGATAGTCGCGGGGGCGCGCACATTCCGACCCTCCTGGCCACTGGTCTCGATGGGCTGCGCCGCGCGTCCAGCGGGACGTGCCACGAGGCCTCGATCGGCCAGCAGGTTCTCGCCATCGAAGCGAGGGCCTCCGGCATCCGCGACCAGGTCAAGGCGTCCTCGGCGAAGGACCCCGACGGCGCCTTCCAGGCCGTCCGCAGGATGCAAGCGGACGTCATCGTGCAGGTGCGCCTCCGCCCGGCCCCGCGCCCGCGCGTGAGAGGCCGACGTGGTCGCGCGTCGTCCGTGCGAGGCGACTGCGTCGACCAGCCTCCCCTGGGAACGCCAACGTCTTGTTTCCAACAGCCCGAACGACACGAGGGCCTGGGCAGGTTCACGTCGTCGCAGTGCGCCTGAAGCTTCGCGGCGCAGCCGGCGTCACCACTCAACCACGCACCGTGAGTGGTGACGCCGGCTGATGCGCCTCGAAGCTTCTGGCGCACTGCTGACGACGTTGAACCTGCCCAGGAAGGCCTTATGTCGTTCGGGCTGTTGTTGGAAACGGAGCTGCCCCCCGGCGCCCTCCGTGCCCGCAACGCCATCGCTGAGCTCCGTCGCTCCGCGAGCGCGAGGCTCGCTCTGCCAGCCCCGCCCCCCGCTCGCGCTGGCAGAGGTGCGCCTGGCACGTCACATGGCGCTGGCCGCGCTCACCGCCCGGCGCGCCGACCGGCGACCGCAGGTCATGGGAGCCCACTCCCACCTCATGAACCTGCTCCTCGCGGACCTCGAAGCAACCACCGTGCGCGCCGGACAGATGCTTGCACTGATCAAGGTGCGCGCACAGACCTGAATTCATATCTGCCGATGAACGGACGGACCGCTCCTCGACGCGCTCGATGCTCTGCGATGAGCCGTCGCCACGCACCCACCGCCTGCCCGCCCGTTCCGCGAGCGTCGCGTCGCCACGAGAGCTAGGGCTCCTTCCCAACGTCCACGTGATGCACGCGCGCGCAGGACGGCGAACTGACCGAGGAGATCTTCAGGGAGAACGAGGAGAAGGCGTGGACGACGTGGCACCGCGCGTGCACCTGCCACGACAGCGCGGAGGCCTCGCACGGCCGCTGGCTGGCGCGTCTGGGCGCCGACTCCGAGGGCAGCGGGCGCCGCGGCTCCATCGGCGGGAGCGCGCGGGAGGTCGTGGCCAGCACGCAGCCCGTCATCGCGTCGATCATCGGGCAGTGGGAGCGCGCGACGTCGGTGTGGGGCTTCAGCCGCGCGGCGACGCACCAGGCGCTCGAGGCCGCGGCGAGCGCCGCGGTGCCGTGGGCCGCGGACGCCGCTGCCGCGATCACGTCGAAGGAGTTCCTCGACGCGCTCTGGCAGCGCGTGCGGAGCTGCCGCCGCCACATCGGGACGGCGCGGCTGCACCTGTCGCACCTCGCCGCCTCGCGCGGGCCGCAGGAGGCCCTCACGCGGCTGTCCGACTGGCTCACGGGGGAGTTCTGGAAGGAGTGGCTCGAGATGTACGCCGAGCGCGGCGCCCGCGGGCTGCCCTCCGAGGAGGCGGACGACTTTGTTCTGGAGCGCATGGCGGCGTGCGCGGACCTCGTGCACCTCGGGTGGCAGGTCGGCGAGTGGGACGAGGTCGAGGCGTCGCTGGCGGCCTTCGTGAGCGGCGGGCGGCAGTACGCGGCCGCGGTCGCGGCGCTGCCGCCCGACGGGCAAGCAGCGGTGCGCACGCTGGGCCGGGCCGCGATGGCCGAGGCGCACGCGTGCCACGCGACGGAGGCGTCGCGGCGGGCGCGCGTGCTCGGGCAGGCGAGCCGGCGCGGGCGGCTGATCGCCGGCGCGCTCACGCACGCGTGGGAGTGCCCCTGCTGCTTGGGGTCGCTGGCCACGGGCGTGCTGGAGCCCGTGTTCTACCGCTGCAAACACCCCCGGCCGATCGAGCTCGGGTGCAGCCCGCACGTGGCTTGCCGGGGCTGCGCGGAGATGCTCGACGGGTGGTGCCCCGTGTGCAAGAAGCACGCGGGCTTCCGGTCGGCGGCGGAGCAGGCGGATGCCACGCAGCGCTCCATGGCGGGGTCCCCGTGAAGCACGCAGCGCCGTGAACCTGGACATCCCGCGGGAGAGCAATCCGCGGGATCGCGCCGTGCTCTTAAAGCGCAGCATGACCTAGCAGTCGTACTATCAGCAGGAACGGGTTCGCCCCCCGCACGGCGTGGAGGCCAACGGACCACTCAGGGGCGCGGGGGGTCCACTGTAAGCCGCAACAGACTCGCGCTGCATCACACGAACGAACGCCACGGCTGTCAGGCCTGCTGCAGCCGTGCCCCTACGGCAGTGCGGTGGCAGCGTGGGTACACACCCCCTGGGGGGACTGGCACACTGACTCATGTCGGTTGGACTCTGGACGTGCTGCTGGACCGAGGCACAAAGGCCCGTCGTCACCTGGGGTCGTTCAGAGACTCACGCAGCACGCTGTGCGCTTCCTGAACGATCCCCGCATTGTCTCGTGCATGACTGCTCACATTGTCTACCCTGTCTGCTGTGTGAGTCTCGCCTGCCGTACCATTTCGGTCGCTCCGGCATCCTCGCGGTGAGGGTGCTCGTAGGTCAGCGAAGAACAGTCTCGAATGACGTGCATGGAGCGTGTGCTGCGCTGCGCTTCTGCGGCCTGTTGTGCGCTAGCTGCACCCGCACGCGGTCTCCGCGCCGGCCCCGACGCCCCGCACGAGATCCTCGATGTCTCGCCCGCCCCCGCCGCCCCCGCCGCCCTTGGCCTCGTCCGCCACCACCAGCTGCCCGCAGGCACCGGAAATGTCCTGCCCCTTCTCGACGCGGATCGTCGTCCGCACGCCGTACACGCCCCCGAGAATCTTCTGGAAGCGCTCCAGGTGCTCGACGCCCGGGGCCTCGAACACGATGCCCGGGTCGGCCAGGACGGGGTTCCACGGGATGAGGTTGATGACCGCCTCTACGCCGTGGTCCTGGAGGAGGAGCCCGAGCTCGTGCGCCTCCGTCTCACCGTCGTTCACGCCGTGCAGCATCACGTACTCGATGAACACGCGGTTGCCTGCGCAGGGCGGGGGGAGGCGCGCAAGGAAACAACGGTGGGCGGCGCTCGGGGGCGAGCTGCGGTCAGACAGGCGGTCGCGAGGCCGGCGCTGGTGCAGCGTCCGCATGTGGCGCTGTGGCGCAATCTCGCGCCCCCGGCAGGACGGGCGAGGCGGTCGTTCGCGACGCAGCACGCGTGCAGGAGCGGCGAGCGCACCCGTTTGGTCCTGGTACCGCTTGACGGCCCCCATGAGCCGCGTGAGGCCCGCGGCGCCCGCGCTCGGCACGATGTCCTGCCGCAGGCCCTGGGTCGGCGCGTGGAGCGACAGCGCCAGGTGCACATTCGGCATGTCCTTGGCCATTTTCAGGATGCCCGGAATGACGCCGACGGTCGACACGGTGATCCGCCGCGGCGCGATGCCGAAGGACTTCTGGTTCGTGACCTCCCCGATCGCCGCGCGGACCTCGCCGTAGTTGGCCAGCGGCTCGCCCATGCCCATGAAGACGATGTTGCGGATGGGCTCGACGCGGCGCGCGTGGTAGAGCTGCTCGATGATCTCGTGGCGCAGGAGGTCGGCGCGGAGGCCCATCGTGCCGGTGGCGCAGAACTTGCACCCCATCTCGCAGCCCACCTGCGAGGACACGCAAAGAGTGGCGCGCTCGCCGCCTCGACGCCTCCCGTCGGGCTGGGAAGGGTCGATGCCGAGGGTGGAGTCGTGCCGCATGACGACCGTCTCGATGCGCTGCCCGTCGAACAGCTCGACCAGGAGCTTCGTGGCCGAACCGCCGTCCTGCCGGCCGACGACCCGCGTGGTGGTGGTGGTGAATCTCTCGCGGAGCAGATCACGGGCCTTCACGGGGATGGACGGACACACGGCGGGGTCCTCGAGGTCGCCGAGGGCCGCGGTGGGCGAGGAAGCGAGGTGCCTGCGCGCAGGTGGGGCGGCAGGCCGGGTGGGCAGCGGCGGGGTGGCGTTGGGCGGGGCACGCGCGCCGAGCGCGTCGAGCCGCCTCCGAGTAGAATTTCGGAATCTCTACGAAAGTACTGGTGCGCCCGTATCGCATCTGCGCGCGACTGTCCACGCTGCGGCGCGTACGAGCCTCCCGTAGGGAACATGGACGCAGCGCACTGGGAGTGGCGACGGACGCACTTGTACACAGCGTCGACATGCTTCGGCTTGATCCCGTGCTCTCTGAACACCCGTTCCACCGATTCGCGGTCGTACACGGGCAGCACGTCCTGCGGCAGCCTCTCGCGACGGCTCGCAGCGTGCGGGTCAGCCACGCCTGCCGCCGGCGCCATCGCGCGGCTTCCCGGAAGGCCGCCGAGCTGACTTGGAGGTCGCTACACAAGGCTGCTCGCGGCGGGGCACGACCAGGGGCACCAACGCCCGTCGTCCGTCGCGCACACTGGAGCAAGAGTCGAGGGGCTCTGCAGGAGGTCTGCTCTCGCGGACACGCCGCCGCCGCACCGATATGTCTCGCGCGCGCTCGGCGTGGCATGCAGGAGTGGCGCCGTCGCGCACTCCGGGGCCGTACGTCCCCGGCAACGCAGGCAAGGTCACAGGGGAGGGGGTACAAGCGCCCTGACTCCAGGGCACTGCACGCCCTCGCGCGCCCGCCGTCACAGCACGCCGCAGTCCCACACCGCCACGCGCGCCCGCGGCTCCCCTCCCTCGCTCGCCGCCTCCGCGTTCACCCGCTCCAGCACCTCCAACCCCGCCACAACCCTCCCCACCACCAAGTGCTTCCCGTCGAACTTCGGCGCCGCCTGCACACGGCGCCAGAACGACACGCAGCGGGCCGCTGACACGCCGACGTACACAAGCCGCGGCGGTCCGCCCCCGGCGGCGCGCAACACGACGCGACACGACGCGCGCGAAAAGCCATTGTCGTGCGATCGTCGAGGTCGTGCGCACCCCGAACGTGATGTAGAACTGCGACGTGTTGCTGTTCTTCCCCGAGTTGGCCATCCCGAGCACCCCCGCCGCGTCGTGTCGCCGCTTCAAACCCTCCTTCTCGTCGTTGAACTTGGGGCCGTGGATCGACTCCCCCCCGCTGCCGTCCCCGCGCACGACGTCCCCGCCCTGCATCATGGCGCCCTTGACGATCCGGTGGAACGCGCAGCCCTTGTAGTGCAGCGGCTTCCGGCTCGCCTTGCCCAACCCTCTCTCGCCCGTGCACAGACACCGGAAGTTCTCCGCCGCTTTCGGGACGTCGGCGTACAGCTCGATCTCGAGCCGCCCCGCGACGAGGGGCGCGGGCTCCGCGAGGCGGCAGGGGCCCTTGCCGGCCCACGCGGGGTCCGCGGCGTAGGACTCCGCCAGCAGCTCCCTCTCATCCTCTGTTTCTACCTGACCGGGGTCGGAGTAGCTGCAGATGCGGCGCGAATCGAGGGAGCGGCGCTTTCACGGGTGTTCGTGGCCGTCTAAGAGGCTGCGTCGCCGCCAGGGCGTCGCCGCGGCCTCCGAGAGAGAGCCTGGCGGGGGGGGCATGCGCACCACAGGCCGTAGTTCGCGCCGCATTGCCTGAGCCAGTCGCACGTGCGCTTGTACGCCGCGACGGCGTCCTCGTACTCCCCGGGGTCCCCGAGCGCGATGTCCAGGTAGACCCTCATCGCCTGTCGAGTCTCCTTCACTGCTCAGACACCGCACGGTCGTCCCGTGCGAGATCGATGCGAGGTTCCGTCGCGACCGCACAGCGACTGCGGCAGTCATCGCGGCGCGGCGCGATGCTGTGCCGCCGGGGGCGCGGCCAGGCCGCGGGCGGCGCTGACGGCAGTCCCCCCGCCCGACGCGGTGGCGCGTCGCCGTCTGTGCGGCGGGCGCTGGCCTCGAGGGCTGGGACGCTCGCGCGGGCTTGCCCACTCCCCTGCAGTCGCGCCGCGCCGGCTGCGCGTGTGTCGAACGCAGGAACTCCACGTGTATCGCTGCGCGTGTGCTACCGGTGGGAATGGGGCGTTTGCAGCGCGGGATGCGTCTGCGGTGACGGTTGGGATCCGCGGGGTGATAGTCTGGTGCAGCGACAGGAGGACGAGCGAGCCGGCCTGCGGGCGCACGTCGCAGCGCGAGCGCGGGACGGCATGGTGGGGCCAGCGCAGGTGTCGGCGGTGATGGAGCACTGCCACGCGGGGTGCAACCGGGTGGTTGGTTGCGTGGACTGGGGCGAGAACGGGTTGATTGCGTACGGAAGCGAGAGCAACGTGCATCTTTACGACCCGCAGGTCCGCACCCACCGCGCTGTCCCGCGCGCGCACCGCTCCCTTGCGTTGCGTCGCGTCGCGCGCGCTTCCCCTCTGCCACCACGCTATCGATCTCACGGGCCCTACCGCGAGCTGCGAGGCTCGCGCACCGGTCTCCCGCGGCACGCATTCGCCTCACCTGCGCCCCGCGGTCCCCGCGTCGCCGCAGGACTGCCGCGTCGTGAGGTCGCTGCCGGGCCACGCGGCCGCGATCACCTGCGTCAAGTGGATCGCTTCAGCGGCGTGGCAGGGCCTCAACGACTCCAGCGCGGCGATCCTGGCGACGGGGAGCTCGGACGGCGCGCTGCGCCTCTGGCGCGTCGACCGGCGCGGCGCCTCGAGCTGCCCGACGCTCTGCCAGCCCCGCCACCACGCCGAGACGATCACCTCGATCTCCGCGGCCCCCGGCGTCGCGCCGCGGTCCTTCGTCATGGCCACCGCCGCCGCCGACGGCGGCGTCGGCGTCTGGCGGTGCGACGTCGGGCCCGCGGCGGCCTCGCTCGAGGCCGAGCACCTGCAGCGCGTCGACACGGGCCAGGGCATGCAGCTCGCGACCGCGCTGCTGCGCCGCCAGGACGGCACCCTCCTCCTGGCCTGCGGCGGCGTCGACGCGCGCCTCCGCCTCTTCGTCAGCGCGGGCGACGGCGCGCCGTTCGCGCCCGGGTGTGTGCTGCGGGAGGCGCAGGACTGGATCCGCGGCGTGGCGGTCGCCGACCAGGGCCCCGCGCACGGCGTGCTCGTCGCCACGTGCTCCAACGACAAGAGCGTGCGCCTCTGGGCGCTGCGCCCGAGCGGCGCGGCCCCGCGCCGCGCCGACGGCGCCGTGGACATCACGGCGCTGACGACGAAGCCGCAGGTGGTGCTGCGCGGCGAGCGGCACGTCGCGTCGCTCGACAGCGTGCTGCTGGGGCACGAGGACTGGGTTCACTCCGTGTCGTGGATGCCACGGGCGGACGGGGCGCCGCTGACGCTGCTGTCGGCGTCGATGGACCGCACGATGATCATGTGGAGGCGCGAGGCGGGCGTGTGGATGGCGGTCACCACGCTCGGCGACGCCGGTCCGGGGGGTCTGGGGTATTACACGGGCATCGCGTCGCCGGGGGGGGGGAGTGTGCTGGCGAACGGGTACACGGGCGCGCTGCACCGGTGGGAGCGCACGGCCGCGGGGGAGGGCGCGTGGGAGCCGAAGGTGTGCGCGCTCGGGCACTTCGCGCCCGTGGCGGCGCTGTCGTGGGGGCTGGGCCAGGGGGGGTCTCTGCTGACGGTCGGGCAGGACCAGACGGCGCGCGTGCTGGCGTCCGCGCCCGGGGGCCGGTGGTGCGAGGTCGCGCGGCCGCAGGTTCACGGCCACGACTTCACGTGCGCGGCGCCGGTGCCGCTCAAGGGCGACAGCGCCGGCGCAGCGCAGATCTACGTCAGCGGCTCCGAGGAGAAGGTCATCCGCGTGATGGAGGCGCCCAGGGCCTTCACGCGCACGCTGGCCGCCGTGCGGCGCGGCGGGGCGCTGCCGTCCGACGCGGACGACGACGACGACGGCGGCGCCGCGGCCCGCGTGCCCCTCGGCGCGAGCATCGCGGCGCTGGGGCTGTCGAACAAGGCGGTGTACGAGGACGACGCGACGGACGTGCAGGCGGGGCACTTCGGGGAGGGCGGGGGGCCCGGGTACGACGAGGGGCCGGACATGGCGCCCAGCTCCATGCCCGCGGCCATCACGGGCCCCCCCCTCGAGGAGCACCTGTCGCAGAACACGCTGTGGCCCGAGACGCGGAAGCTGTACGGGCACGGGAACGACCTGTTCTGCCTGGCGGCGGACCCGCGGGGGCGCGTCGTCGCCAGCGCGTGCGTCGCCAAGACCGCCAGCGCAGCGGGGATCCGCCTGTGGGACACGCGGACGTGGGCCCCGGCGGGCGAACTCAAGGTGAGAGACGCGCCGCGCCTGCGCCGCCCTGGCGGTGCGTCCTGCGCGACCTCCTGGCCCCGAACGCGCCGGAGACGTCGGTGGCACTTGCACGCGCAGGGTCATTCGCTGACGGTGACGCAGCTGTCGTTCTCGCGGTGCGGGCGGCTCCTGGTGTCGGCGTCGCGCGACCGCTCGATCTGCCTGTACGCGCGGGCGTCCGCCCCGGGCGACGACGGCGCCGCGCCGATGTTCGAGCTCCTGGCGAGCATGCTCAAGGCGCACTCCCGCATCTGCTGGGGCGTCACCGTGAACGACGCCTGCACGCGCGTCGCGTCGTGCTCGCGCGACGGCACCGTGTTCGGCTGGGCCGTGCCCCGGGACCGTGACGGGTCGTTCGTGGAGGGGGGCGCGGACAGGCTGGACAAGGCGTGGGCGCTGCCGGCGCTGCGGTGCGGGGCGCGGAGCATCGAGTTCGCGCCCGGGGACGCGGAGGTCTTCGCGGTCGGGCTGGAGGACGGCGGGGTGGAGGTGTGGCAGGCGCGGGAGGCGGGCGAGGGGGTCGCGCCGCAGCAGCTGTGGGCGGCGCCCGAGGGCGAGCGGCACTGCCGGGCGGTGGTGCGGGTGTCGTGGCGCGCGGGGAACGTCCCCGGCGCGGGCGTCCTGCTGGCGACGGCGAGCGAGGACCACGCCGTCCGCATCTTCCGGCTGCGACTGTAACCATGGGCAGGGACGCGACCCTTGCTTCCTTGGGCACCGCGACTCACACACACGCACAGACAACGCTTGCGACGCGGGTGCCCCCGCAACGCGCCCCCGCAACGCGCCCCCGCAACGCGCCCCCGCAACGCGCCCGTCCCCGATCGCCCTTACGCCTTGGAGAGCACGGCGCGGTGCACGAAGCTGAGGTGCTCGGCGTACGACGGCAGCCCGGAGATGCGGTCCTCGACGAAGTACGGCCGGATGTGCGCCTCCATGGGGTCGCCCTGCTTGACCACGAACAGCATCTGGTGGCTGTGCCGACGCGCGCGCAGCTCGGTCACGACGGCGTGCAGGCGCTGCGCGAGCGGCGTGCTCCGCGGCGCGTCCATGTCGACGGCCGAGAGCTCCTGCTGCGTCGCGTGCGCGTGCAGGCCGAACACCTGCTGCACGAACTCGCCGGAGACGTTCCTGCCCAGCAGCAGGATCATGAGGCGGCCCGTGTCGAGCAGGTACGCGCCCTGCGGGTCGAGCACCTCGGACGCGAGCGCCACGCGCGGCGGCATCTCGAGCGCGCCGTCCTGCCCGGGCCTGCCCCAGGCGCCTTCGGCGCCGGCGCTGGGGTCGTGGACGCACAGCAGGTCCGGGTAGATGTGCGAGAGGATGGCGGCGACGGAGCCGCTGGCGATCGCGAAGCCGAGCGCGGTGCGCTCGTCCGCGCCGACCTCGGCGGCGTTGTTGCCCCGCAGCGCGCCGGACTTGCACAGGGCCAGCGTGTAGAGGGGGAGGAGCTGGGCCTGCTCGGGGAAGATGAGGCGGTTGGCGACGAAGCGCGCGTGCATCTGGTGGAGCAGGCGGAACTCGCGCAGCGCCTGCACGAGGCGGAACTGGACGAAGTCGCGCGACTCGCTGAGGCGCGAGGTCATGCTCTTCTCGACGCCGAGCTTGGCGAGGGCGGCGGCGGTGGCCCCGCCGTCGAGCGCCTTGTACATCTCGGAGAGGTCGGAGACGACGGGGACGCAGCAGGTGTGCACGCGGATGCGGCGCTCGCCGCAGGACGCCGTGTAGAGCAGGGCGCACTGCACGTAGGCCACCGGCGCGGTGACGACCGACTCCTCGAGCGTGATGTCCGCGGCGTACGTCTTGTCCGCGTCCACGGAGGGCACGGCGAGCAGGTCGCGCGCGCGGATGAAGAAGTGCCCGTGGAAGGTCGAGATGGCAAACCCCTTGGAACAGCGCAGGCGCATGACGGCCTCCCACGCGGTGTTGCGCCGGAGGTGCCGCGTGAGCTCGATGCGCAGCTTCGCGCCGGACTGCTGCGCGCTGAACGCCGGGTAGTAGTACACGTGCCCCGCGGTGTGCTTGGGCAGCGCCGCCAGCGAGGCCAGGTCCATGAAGGTGCGCCCGCACGCGAAGACGTCGCACGTGATCTGCGCCGTGATGCAGTCCGACGCGAACTTCTTCCAGAACGGGTCGTCCGGGAGCCGCAGCGTGTGCTCGCGGTCCGACCCGTACAGGCTCGAGTTCTCGCGCCCGGGCTTGATGCGCCCGATGCCGGTCGACGGCGGCGTCGCGATGAACAGCTCGAGGCGCCCCCCGACGAACGACATGCACATGAAGGCCGCCTGCAGCGCCGGCCCCGCGGCGCAGTCCGCCACGGTCGTCTGCGCAAAGGTGGCGGGGATGGCGTCGAGCGCGGCCTCGACCTGCGCCCGGCACTCGCTCAGGTTGACCATCAGGTCGTCCGGGAGCGGCACGAACGGGTCGTCCACCTCGGTGACCACCAGCACCTTGGGGCCCGACGCCGTCGGGCTGAGCTGGTAAAAGTGCAGCGCGGCGTCCACGGTGAGGATGCCCACGCGCGTGCGCTCGGCGCCGGGCAGCGCGTCGAGCTGCGCCTTGATCGTCTCGCAGACCGTCGCGACCATCCCGGACTGCACCGCCGCCGCCGACACGTCGATCACGAAGAAGAAGCTGGGCGGCATCGGCGGGCGCGTCGAGTACTCCTGCGGCGCGACCCACTCGACGGTCCCGCTCGAGAGCTCCGGGCGCTCGTGGCGGTCGCGCCGGTTCCCGCCCTCGTCCAGCGCCGAGTAGTACTCGATGGGCACCTCGTTGAGCATGCCGCACATGTTGCACCGGAAGCGGCGCCCGCCGTCGGCCCACTGCACGAACGGGTTGACGTACGTGCGGCACGTGCGGCACCGGATGATGCCCGTCGCGCCGAGGTGCACGACGGGCGCCTGGGCCTCGTCCGACAGGGGCTGCACGACGACCGACAGCGGGAGGTGCCACCGGTTGGCCAGCTGCTGCGAGCTCGGCAGCGCGGCCGTCGTGAGCCGCATCGCCGCGGGCGGACAGTTCCCCGCCGCCACCTGCCGCACCGCCTCCTCCGGCGGCGCCGCGCTCGCCTCGCCGGCCGGCCGCGGGAACTCGGCCGGGTTGACGCCCACCGTCGCCGCCTGCCCCGGCCCCGGCGCGCCGAGCGTCAGCGACTTGAACTGCCCGAGGATCGCCTGCTCCTGCGCCGGGTCGTACCCGAACGGCGCCGCGCCCCCGATCGGCGGGGGCCCGGGCTGCTGCTGCGGCGGCGGCGGCGGCCCCCCGTACGCGCCCGGCGGCGGGCCCCCGTACGCGCTCGACGGCGGCCCCCCGTAGCCCTGCGGCTGCTGCTGCTGCTGCTGCGGCGGGGGCTGCATCGTGCTCGGCTGCGGCGGGCGCTGGAAGCCCCCCCCGGGGGGCATTGACATGGTCTGGCCGGGCGCCGACGCCGGGGGCGCGCTGCCGGGCATGCTCGGGGGCGGGGCGCCCCAGCCCCCCTGCGGGCGGGACGCCGCCGGGGGCGCGCCGGAGAAGGGCGGCGCGCCCGGCTGCCCCGCAGGCGGCGGGGCCGGCGCTGCGGGCGGGGGCCCGGGGCAGCAGCGCCCATGGGAGCCGCAGCCCGGCCGGCGGGGCGCGCCGGGCGCGGCGCCGGCGGCGGCCCCCCGGGGCCGCGCCTGGGCGGGGGGGCCGGGCCTGTACCCCTGCGTCGGACGCGCGCCTGGCGGGCCCTGCGGGGCGGGACCTGCATGTCGGGGGCGGGAGCGACGGTTCGGGGCGCTGCGTCACGGGCGTGCGGGCGCGGATCGGGCGCGCGCGGGGGTGGGGGGGATGGGCAGAGAGAGGGCGGTCGCAGCGGGGGCGGGCGCGGGCGCCGCGGGGATCGCGGTGGGCGAGGGGCGCGAGGGCGATGTCGGGAGATCCGTGGCGGGCGCGGGTCGGCGCGGGACCGCCCGCGCGCGCCCGGATCCGGCCGCGACTGTCGCGGTGCGTGCGTGCGGGCTTGGGTCGCGCGGGGGCCGCGGCGCGCGCGGGGCCTCGGGCGGCGCACCTGGCTCTGCGGCGGCGCGGAGGGCGGTAGCCCGGTGGTCGGGCGCCGGGCGGGCTCCAGCGCCCGGCGGGCGCGGACCGGGGGGCCCGCCCGTGGGGGGTCCCGGGGGCCGCGCGTAGCCGCCTGGGGGTCCGAACCCGGGCCGAGGGGGCGGGGCACCGCGCGGGGGGCCCGTCTGCGGCGGCCCGCCCGCCGGGGGCCCCTGCTGCGGGAACCCTGCCGGAGGTGGCATGCCTGGACGCATCATGCCGGGCCCGGGCGGGGCCGACCCGGCCGGCGGCCCGCTCGTCGGCGGGTAGTTTCCATAGCTGGGCGGCGGGCGCCCGTAGGGGTTGTTCTGCATGGCGTCGGGCGCTTCCCCCGCGTCACCCGCGTCGCTCGGGTCGCCCAGCGCCGCTCGCGCGCGTCCGAGGCCGACGTCTCACCGGGACGGATGCGCGCCCATTCGCGATTCTTCGCGCCACTGCCGTGCGCGGGCGCCCCGAGCCGCCCATCGCGCCCGAACCGAGACGCCCCTCTGGGTCGGACCCCCCGCCGCGGCGCGCACGGCCGCGCCACGGGCCCGCGCGCCCGGCCGCGGGACCCCGAGTTCGCGGAGATCTCATCGGTCACGGCGACGCCGATGTATCAACGCGGCAGGGAGTGCGCCCGACCTCACACACCTCCATGACGTCGCGTCTCGGCGGAGGAGGGCCGCGCGGCATCGCAGCGGGTCCACGCCGGGACGGATCGCCGCGGAAGGCGAGCCGCGCGCGTCCGGAATCGCCGCGCGGCCGGGATCGCCGCGGGCACGCGGACCGTCGTTGCTGTTTCGTCGCCGGGCGCCGCCGCCGCCGTTGTGGTGCCCCTCGCCACGGGGCGGCGGTCTGCGCAGCGAGGGGCGCGCGGCGCCGCGGGGCTGCGGGGCCGGCGCGCGTCGTCCCGGCGCCGGGTCCCGCCGCGGTGCCCCCGTCACACGGAGGTCGAGCAGCGTCGGGGCGTGGCGTCAGCAGGCGGTCGGTTGGGGCCCGGGGGCGGCTGATGGCGCCGCGCGCGGCGCTGCGGCGCGCAGAGCCCGCTGTTTCGGCGCGTTCATGGACGATCGGACGGACGGTTCGAGTGCGAAGCGCCCCTCGACGTCGCTCGAGGCCTCTGAGGGAATTCGTGACGTGGGCACGGCCGGGCAGGCGCGCTCGCGCCTCCTCGCTGGCGCGCGGCGTGGCCGCAGGTACGAGCGCGACGCGGGTCGCGACGGCGGCGTGCTGCGCGGCCCGCGCGGCGGCGTTTCGCGGCCCCGCGAGGCGGCTTCGAATCCACAGTCGGTTTCCCCGAACACGCCCGCGGGCGCCCCGGGCGCCCGCGCAGAGCCGCGGAAACGCTGCACGCCGTTTGCGTGGACGGCGTCGCGGAGCGCTCGTCGGCGCGCCGCCGCCGTGCGCGCGCCCGGGCGGTTGGGACGAGCGTTTCGAACGTTGCCGCGGACCGGCGCGCGCGGCGCGCGCGGGGGCGCGTGCGCGCGATTCCCGGACGACACGAAACAATCGCTTCCCCGCTGCGTCGCAGATCTGCGGCGACGGCGCCAACTTCCCCTTCCCCTCCCACCACCACCATGGTCCAACCACCACCACCCCCCGGCAGCGGCGCGCGGACGGGGCCCGGAAGCGGCCCTCCGGCCGTCGCGTGCTTTCGGGAGATCGTCGACGCGAGCCGGGGCCGGAACGACGCGGCGGCGCTGCGGTCGTTCGCGACCAGCCTGACGGAGTGCGTGTGCGGCGACGCGGCGACGGGGGCCGCCGCCACGGGCCCCGCGTCCCCCGTGCAGCCCCCGGCCTCGGGCCGCCCGCCCCGCGCGGCGGCCCGCGCGGCGCGCCCCCGCGGCGGCCGCCGGGCGCCGGTACCGCACGCCGTGGACGCAGGCCGAGGACGCCGCGCTGACGTGGCTGGTCGCGGAGAAGGGCACGGCGAACTGGACGGAGATCTCCCGGCTGCTCCCCCTGTGCGCGGCGGCCCCGGCGCCGGCGCGCACGCCGAAGAGCTGCCGCCTGCGGTGGTGCAACCAGCTGGACCCGTCGATCAAGAAGACGCCGTTCACGGACGAGGAGAACGCCGTCATCGTCGACATGCAGGCCAGGCACGGCAACAGCTGGAGCCGCATCGCCGCCAGGCTCCCGGGCCGCACGGACAACGCCGTCAAGAACCAGTGGTACGGCCGCCTCGCGCCGCAGCACAACGGCGGGCCGGGCGCGCGGGGCGCGCACCCCGCGAGCGCGCCGCCGCCCGGCCTCGCCGCCGGCGACGGCGGCCTGCCGCTGTTCCGGTACGACGACGACGTTGTGGCGCCGGTGCCGGGGACGCCGCCGGCGCGCGACGGGCCGTTCCTGCGCCACCCCGGCCGCTCGCCGACCAAGGGCCTCGGCCTCGCGCCGGACCGCGTCGTCGTCCCGCAGCCGCAGCAGCAGCAGCACGCCGCGGAGCTCCTGCTGTGCCTGCGCGGCGCCCTCGACGCCGGCGCCGACGCCGACGCGGCGCCCGGGCCGGGCGCGTGCACCCCGGGCGTCGCCGGGGCGCAGGTCCGTCGGGAGCTCGCCCGGGGCCCGCCGCGGGGAGCGGCTGATCCACTCGCGCGTCGTCGGGCGGCGGGCTGGGGCAGCCCCGCCGCGCGGCGGCGACGCGCGGCGGCGACGCGGGCGGCGGCGCGGACCGGCACGGCCACCTCGCCGCGCCGCAGCTCCTCGCCGGGCCCCCGCTGCTGCTCCCCGGCGAGGGTGCCATCGTGGGCATGCCGTCGGCCGAGGTGCTGCCGCGGCAGCTGTGCCGGCGCATCCTGCGCAGCGGCGTCCTGAGCGCGCACGACATCGCGGCGGCCGGCGGAACCTTCTGCGGGACTTTTGGCGGGACTATCGGCGGGACATTTGGTGGGACTATCGGTGGGACTGTTGGCGGACCTCTCGGCGGGCTGTCGCTGCACCCGGACGTGCCGCCCGAGATGCACGGCCTCCTTCTCACCGGGGGCGCGTGGGGCTGTCCCGACCCCGCCGGCGACGCCGCCGGCGGCGACGCCAGGACCAGGAAGCGCCCCCGCGACGACGACGGCGTGGGGGGCGGCGCGCCCGAGGCCTCCGCCCCCGCGGAGGCGCCGCCCGCGCGGCCCGGGAAGCGCCGCTGCGCGTGGTGCTGCACCACGACCACGCCCCAGTGGCGCGCCAAGCCGGACGGCGGGTGGCTGTGCAACGCGTGCGGCGTGACGCTGTACAAGGCGCGCAAGACGGTGTCGGCCTCCCCCGGGGGCCTCGAGGGCCTGATGACGACCGCGGGCGCATGACGACGCGGCAGGCGCGCGCTCGCGTCACACCCCGCCCCGTGCACGCGCTCAGTCCCGGCACGCGGGGAAGTAGTCGTTGCCGATGTAAGTCCCCCGCCGGACGTGCTGCGCGACGACGTTCTCGAACTGCGACCGGCGCGCGCGCATCATCTCGGCGGCCTCCTTGTTGAGCGGGTCGTCGGGGTTGGGGTCCGACATGAGGAACTGGAGGCCGATGATGACCGAGTTGACGCTGAGGACGGGCTTCCAGTCCTCGCGCAGGATGTTCAGGCACACGTTGCCCTCGAGGTCGATGTTCGGGTGGTAGACCTTGGTCAGGCAGCGGACCTTGGGCGGGTCGTGCGGGTAGGTAAGCGGGACGCTCACGTCGAACCGGAAGCGCCCGCCGTGGTAGGGCGTGCGCTCGGGCGGCCGGATGACCACCTCGAAGTGCATCACCTGGTCCGGCCCTGCGCGCGACGATCGACGATGTGCGGCTGCGATCGTCTTTGATGCGTGTGCGTGTGTGAGTGCAAGTGTGCGCAGAGGTAACCTGCGGCCGCGTCGGGCGCACCGTCGACGAAGTTGATGACCGTCGAGCTGTCGAGGTCGAGCTCGCCCATGTCCTTCTGCATCCGCATCTCCGACGGCGAGAGCTTGTCGTTCGCGTCCTCCTGCCTCTTCGCCTCCCGCTCCTCCTCCTGCTTCTTCTGCGGCGACGTCGGGGCGAGGGGGCGGAGGAACGTGCGAGGAACGCCGGTCGATCGCGGTCGGGCGCGCGCGCGCCGTGCCGCACCGTCGCGGGGGGCGCGCTCCCCTCCTTTGCTCCTTGCGGGAGCGAGGGGCGCGGGCGGGCCACGGGGGCGGACGTTCGGGCGCGGTCTCGCAGGAACACAGGGTCGGGGTTCGACCGCGCCGGCGGATCGACGCGGCGGGGGCGCGCAGCGGGCGCACGGCGCCACTACTGCAAGGCGCCACTCCTGCCTCGCGCCGCGACGCACCTTGACGAACGCCAGGTTCAGCATCCCGACGGTGGCTCGTCTGCTACTCCTACTGCCACGCTACGGGGCGGTTTCTCTCTTTGAGGTCGCCGCGCGCGCGAGAGACGCGTCGTCCGCTGGCGCACGCTACCGCTAGGCAGGGTCGAGGCGCACCGCGGACGCAGCGAGTTGGTGCACGGGCAGCGACAGCGCGTCCTCGTTCCAGGCGCGGTCCCCTTGTCGCCGCCGCGGCACCCCCCCTTGTCGCCGCCGCGGGCAAGGGGCCCTTTGCGACGCAACACCTCTGGGGGTGTCGCGTGTTGTCAGGGAGGGGGGGAGGTTTCGGAGGGCGGTCCCGCCGCGCGGCGCCCTCGGCGGCGCCGCGGCGCATCGCCGGCGCGTCGACGGTGGCGACGATCGCGGCGGTCGTAGGGCCAGGGGAGTGGCGGCGACGCTGTGGTGAGGATGGGCGGCGGCGCCGCCGAGAGCGCTGAGGCACGCGGCAGCGACGCGCGCGGACGCGCTGCGCATACTTCGCGGGGGGGTCCCTCCCCGACGCGTCGCGCAGCGGGGTCCAGACGTCGGTGCAAGCAGAGCTTGCTACATAATGTGTTGTGAAGTACAAACTATGCTTGGTATGCCGTCAAATCACTCTCTACATCACCAATTCGGGGTTGTAACTCAGTGGTAGAGTGGGCGCTTCGCAATTAGGCGTTCCGGGTCTGCGGGCGCACGGCGCGGCCAAGGCACAGTCCATGGCTGCCTGGGCAAATAACAGACCCGGAACGCCGGTTCCGGAGGTGCGCCAAGCCGCGGGTTCGATTCCTGCCAACTCCAGGGTGTTCTTTATGCACGTACAGGGGTTGCCGCGACGATCGGCGGCTCTGGGGACGGTCAGGGGGGCCGGCCGGGCGCCGGGCCCCTCGGGGCGGTGCGCCAGCAATTCCGTGCCGCTTCTGCCGGTCACGCGACCTTTTCCGCATAGGTGCATCGACAGGGGCCCGCAGCGCTGCTCATCGTCGCGAATCGCGCGGCGGGGACAGCTCCTGCGGCGGACCAACACCGGCGCATGCTGCCCGGACCCCCCGGCCGCGGAGCGGCGCCGGCGCCGACGATGGGCCCCGGCGCGCACGGCGGCACGCATACTTGCCCGGGTCCGAAGCTCCTCTACCTCACGCAATGCCTGCACGCACCGCCTGCAAGCCCGTCAACAAGTGCAGGTGCACAACCGTTTTGCGCTCGCGCGTCGCCCCACGCGGACGACCGCCGCTCTCATCCGCCCGGCTCCCGACTGCTCAGCCGCTTCTCACGCACGCCCTGCGGTGCCTCTCTGCGTGCAGCGCCTCTCTCCGAGCCACCTGAGGACATGAGAGGTGCACAAGAAGAAGGCGCGACACGGGTATTCATGCGTCACGTGCGGCTCCGTCACGCGACACTGGCACCGCACCGTGTGCCAGACGGGCAACTGCAGGAAGCGACGCGCCCCGCCGGTGCGTCCCCACGCTCAGCTTGCGCTGAGATTCAACTGCCTCCCTGGCCCGCGACGAACCCGCCCCCCCTGCGCCGCTAACGGACCCGTTGCCGGCTCCCATACTGACAGAAGCGCCCCGTGGCACCACGCTCTGCAGGTCGACGCCGCGGAGGTGGGCGGCACGGACGCACCAGCCGGCGAGGCGCCTCACGCAGCCCCAGATGACGCGCCCGGCGTTGCGCGCGCCCCGTGCCCGGACCACCACCTCCCCATGCTCGGGTCCTCGCAAGGACCGCCTCCACACGACGACGGCCCCGTGTCTCCGTGCGCGCTCGGAGGCGGTGCCGGCGAGTACGCTGCTACTGCGCACCCACAGCCCTCCACGCGACGCGACACCTCCTCTGATTCGGGGGACGAGGAGACGGACTCCGACCTCGATATCTTCATGCCGGAAATTCCCCCGTTGGACACCGAGCACGACCCGGTCCAGCACCTGGACACTTGGGCAGCAGAAGAGGAGGCTGACCTCGAGGAGTTCGTCCACGCGACGCGCCCGGACGACGCGACCTCGGAGCAGAGCGTGCCAGCAAGCCGCGGGTCCGCCGCGACGGCGCACACGGACCCCATCTACGGCGGCCGGGACCTCAACGTGCAGACGCTCACGCGGCTCGCGCTGCGCGTGCGGCAGCACGCTCGGGAAAGCAACGCGAGCCTGGAGCTGTGGCTTCGCGTCCTGAGCCTCGCACTGCCGCCAGGGGCGAGCATGCCCACGACGTTGCCCGGAGCGCTGCGTGCAGCGGGCGTGGAGACGCTGCACGTGATGTACGGCGCGTGCCCGGAACAAGTTGCACGTCCTGGACGGAGGCGGAGCTGCGCCACAGCAGCCCGGTGTGCCCCAAGTGCCGGAAGTCACCGTTCCGACACCCGTCGCGGTACCGGAAGCTGCTCGCACCGTTCTGGTATTACCCGCTGCACACCGTCCTGCGGGCCCTGCTGCGGGACCCCAACGCTACTTCCGCCTTCTTGGAGAGCGCCGACCTGTGGCGCGCGGCACAGGAGGAGCGGGACCGGTGCCGCGCCGCTGCTGACGACGACGCCGCGATGGACATGATGTGGACGCACTGGCGTCACTTCCCACAGTACGCACGCACGCGCGCGCGTGCGTGCGTGCGTAACCCGACGGACTTCGACAACTGGGCCAGCATGCACCTCGTTCTCGGGGCCGACGGCGCGGCCGTCTTTCAACACGTGGCGCACACGACATTCATCATCGCGGTACGCCCTCCGCCATCGCGACGCGCCCCTCGCCCGGCCTGGCACACTCCACGCGCTGCCCTCCGGCCTCGAGCCTGCCCGAAGACCCGCAGCGCGCCCTCGCACCGTGCCTGACGCAGGTCCGACTCCTGGACGTGCCGCCCGCCATATCGGGGGAGAGGTGGTGCTGCCTGCCCCTGGTGGTCGTGCCGGGGCCGAAGGAGCCCACGATGACGCGGGGGTACCTCGCCCCGCTCTGCGCGGACTTGCGGACCCTGCAGTCGGGCATGCCAGCGACCAGCAGCCATCTGGGCTTCCGAGTGGCGCGCGCGGGGGCTGGGGGCGTCGCTGGACGGCGTGCGGCGCGAGGACGTGTACGACGCGCCGCTGACGCTGCGGGCGTTCCTCCACGGTCTCATCGGCGACGGCCCGGCGCGCACTTTGATGTGCAACGCGTGCGGAATGAACTCCCGCCGCGGGGCGTGCCCGTTCTGCGGCATCGTCGGGCGCCGGAGACGCCGCGGAGCGTTTCTACGGGTACGAGCAAGAGACGGCGTGGTACACCGCTTGGCGTCCAGATGGGGCGGACCCGCCTGCGGTGACGCGCGCCCGCGTCGGGGACGATCACACGCGCCTGACGGCGCGGGAAATGGCTGCGCGCCACGCGGCGGACGGCGAGACGGCGCGGCAGATACCCGGCGTGGAGCCCAAGTCGCTGGAGCACGGCGCGGTCGACATGCCCCTCGTCAGCACGCTGGGCTACCTCAGCATGGACTCCGTGCAACTGCTGGGCCTGTCGCGCATGATTCTGAACTGCATCGCGAAGAAGTTCTGGGGCATCGTCCTGCCCCCGCGACTGAAGGAGGAGGAGCCGTGGCGGGTCAGCCGGGCGAGCCGGAAGGAGATGAAGGCGCGCGGCGCGCAGATCGTTCTACCGGCCTCGACCGCCGTGTACTTCCTGAACATCCCCAACGCGGGGGAGGTGTCGCGCGAGGCGGGGGAGGAGCGGCGGGGCGACGTGCAGCGGCGGCTCCTCGCGCTCGGGCGCCTGTTCGAGGAGCAGGGGCAGCACGAACTTTGCTCCATGTCCTTCCATCTGCTGGCCTGCCAGGGCGCGAAGCAGGAGGAGATGTTCGGGCCCGCCGGAGCGTGCAACGAATTCTGGATCGAGCGCGTCGTCGGCTACTGCGTTCAGCGCACGAAGGGCAAGCTCAGCTCCATGCCGGAGTGGACGCTGTGCTCGCACATCAACGAGCGGTACAACCTCCAACGGCTCCACGACGGACGCGCGGCGGACGTGGTCGACGGCCGGCCGGTGCCGCTGCCCTGCGTCGGCGCGCCGGACGCGCGGCACCGCCGCAGGAAGGCGAGGGATGCGGCGGCAATGGTGGACGCAGGCAAGCAGCTGCATCGCACGGACGTGCACCGGCGCGTCAAGGGGGACTGGACGGCGCTGGTGGGGGCGGTGCGGCGGTTCGTGGCGAAGGAGGCGAGCTGCGAGCGCACCAACGGCGTGATTTGCGACCCCAAGTGCTGGGAAGCAGTCGCGAGTGCGGGCTGTCGGGCTCCGGGATTCGCCACGATGTGGGAAGCAGCGCTGTCCGCCGGGCGCGAGGAGGACATCATCATCACGGAGCACAAGAAGGCGACGCCGGACGGGCGCACCGTGGTCCACCGCGGAGCCGAGGGCATCGAGCCTGCGCAGGGCACGCGCAGCTCGCGGGACGGGTCCTGGGTCGGCGTAGCGTGGGAGACAGACTCGCGGATGAGACTGTGGACGTGCCGTGTGCGACGGCTGCACTCGGTGAGGAAGATCGGCGCCGAGGCGCTGCCCGACATGCTCATCACATCGGTGGATGTCTACAACCCTGGCAACGCGCCGACGGACGCGCTGCGCGAGCTGACGGGCTGGAGGGAGAGGCAGTGGCTGTGGCTCGACCAGATCGACCACCTCTGCACGATGGCGTACGAGCCGCGCAACGACCTCGGCAATGGGTGGGACCTGGTGCCTTGGGCTATGAAATGCCTTCCTGCCGGCGAGTGGGAGCTGGTGGACACGCAGTGGCCGCGCACGGGCCCCGGACCGACGGGCGCACGGAGGCACCGGGTCGCGACGGCGCGGGCGGGGCCAACGGGCGGGGCGGGCAAGCGCGGGCGCGGGAGCGTGCGCGGGCGCACTGCGGGGCGGTCGCCCGCGATGTCGCTGGGCGGCGACGACGCGGCGGGCGGCTCCGAGGACGAGGAATCGTAGCGGGCGGGCGGGGGGGGGGAGCGTCGGAGCAGCGAGGCGCGGCTGTGTGCTGCGCTGCGATGGGCGTGCCAGCAGTCGAGGACTTGTATCTGTGAGACGGTGATAATGATACCAAGTCAACCGTGGGGTTACTGTCACATGCGGAGGCCGAGCGGCCGTTGCGTGCGCGTCCTGCGGTCCACCGCGCTTCGGGCTCTCGGACAGGCGCGCGAACAACGCGAGGCTCTGCCGCCGAGGGCTGTGACGGGCGCGTAACTGCAGCAGTTCCTCACCGGAGTCGTGCGGCACGGAAAACCCGGCGCGGGCGGGCACGCAGCGCCGCAGACGGCGTCCCTGGACGACGAAGGAGCGTCGGGGCCGACAAGATGCAGGTGTCGTCCGGAAGTGGAGGTGCGTGGGCGACCGTGGGCACGCCAGGCAGCGCGAACTCCCGAGTCGTGGGGCGTGCCGAGATCAGCGACGGCGTGCTCGGTCCCACCGCGCTGACAGCTTCGCCCGCTCGCACCGCCAGGCCCCGCACCTCCTGCGCACCCGCTTTGGCCCCGCCGACGGGCCGAAGGCAGGGCAGGGGGTGTGCAGGAGGGTTCTCGCGCCACAGGCCCCCCTGGCGGTCGCAGGGCGGAAAGGACGGCCGGCGCGCATTCCACGCGTATTGTGGGGCATGACGCGGACGACAGACTGGCCGAGTGGCCCCGTGCGGCACGCTTGGAGCGCTTCATGTTCCGCGCGACGCGGGATGTGCAGACCCGCGACGCGGTCACGCGAGGGAGGGCCCGGTTCGCATCGCCCCGGTAGCAACGCCTCCTTCCACGTCCATTCGCCTCACGAGGCCCCCCCAGCGGCCCTGTGTCGCCGTCTGCGAGCGGGGTCGCGCTGCTGTGTGTGTGCTTGCGGCCGTTATCGAACCGCAGCCCGACCATTCTGCGTGATGGGCATCGCGCGGGATCGGGACGGATCACGAGGTGGCGTGCAGGGGCGGTGCGGCCCACTCGTCCACCCCCCGACGAGGAGATGTGGAGAGGCAAGGTGAGGCCCAGGCGCCGCCGTCCCATCCCGGTTGCGGGGAGCGGAGACTGGCCCCTACATGTGACTGTGTCTTCCGAGCCCCTAGCGTCACGTTGTCAACGTCGCGTCCCCTGCCGCGGTTGCGGGCGGTGGAGTAGCTCCTGGTGAGGGAACGCGTCCACAGGGACGTGTGCCTGCGGCGGTGATGCCCGTCCGCGCTCACAAGCGGTATTCAGGACCGGCGGCATCGTGCGCGGCGGTCCGTCGGGCACAGCCGTGCACATTGCCGCGCGGGGGCCAGGAACCCCACCACGGTATGCGCGCCGACCCAGTGTCGCTCCAGTCCGCCTCGGGCCACCAATGGTAGAATCCACGCGCGGGATCCACTCACCAGGTGCATATGGTGCGCACGGTACCCGCTCCTGTGCTCGAACGTCGCGCAGGAGGCCGCAACCGCGTGCTGGGGCGGCCCAGCTGTGTGCCCAGTGCAGTGTGCAGATTTTCGCTCGTAGCAGGCGACTGGCGGCTCCGATGCTCCAACGCGGCAGACTGCGGGCGAACGTCGACATAACGCGCAGCGTGGCGCCTCCATCCCGGACAGATATGCCGCCCATAGCGAGAAATCGGCACACGCCACATTCCGGCCGCATACCTCATTTCCCCACGCTGCAGCAGGAATATACCCCCCGCGTGATAGTTCTTTGCTGACCTACGAGCACCCTCACCGCGAGGATGCCGGAGCGACCGAAATGGTACGGCAGGCGAGACTCACACAGCAGACAGGGTAGACAATGTGAGCAGTCATGCATGTCGTACACACACCTGCACGACGGTGAGACAATGCGGGGATCGTTCAGGAAGCGCACAGCGTGCTGCGTGAGGAATACCCCCGGCGTGGGGAACTTGCGTTAAGATCTCACATCTGCGCCCCCGCGCGTGGCGCTTTAGGGCCCTGCGTGGGTCCGCTGGGCGACAGCATGCTGGGAGGGGTCGCCACGCCGCCCTCCGGAGGTCGCTCGCAGCAGCTCCGTTGGCGCTCCGCGGCGCGCCGCGCGCGCGTGCGCGCTGTCGAGCCGCGCGTGCCACGTCTGCGTCGGCGGCCGGAAACGCCGCGCGGGAGCCGCCGCCGCGCCGCTCGACGGCGACGACGCGCCCCCGAGGACGGCGGGACGTGTGACGCGTCCTGAAGCCGCCGCGCACGTCTCCGAAAGCCCCCGAATCGCCTGCTGTTCGACTCGACTCCCCCCGGGGGAGTAACTGTTCTACCCGAGCGGCGCCTCGCCCGCGGGTTGGTTCACGACCTCGCGCCGCCGCGTGCGCAGCGGGGCCGGCATGGACCTGGCTCACACGCGCTCCGGGAGCGCTGGCACTCGCTGGTGCCTTCACTTCACTGTGCCTCTCGTGCTGCTCGGCCAGCAGCAGGCTGTGATCTATTAGCGGCCGGGATGTCCCGACCGACTGGCTCAGGTCCGGCCGACTCCTAGTGGATGTCAGCCCGGCATCATCATCTCCCCCCCCTCCTAGATTTCGTTGCTCGCAAGACACAAGACATGGCAGCATGCATAGGGACGGGTCGGGAACTCTATAGTGACGGGCGGGAGGGGTTCGGGTTGGGGTTGGAGGACGCAAGTGCATGTGGATGCAAGGTCGGCAGTGCTCGACGGAGGCTGGAGGGGGGGCATGCGAGGGGTCGAGACAGAGCGCACGGGAGAGGGCAGAGGGAGGGGCGGAAGACGCGAGGGCGGGGGAGGGGGGGAGAGGGGGGTTTGCTTGCCGCCGCGGCGCAGGGATGCCATGCATATATGTGCTGGAAGTGGAAGCCGCGTGGGGTGCGGAAGGGGGAGGGAATGGCTGGGGCGCAGGAGAAGCAGGGCTGGGCGACGTCGCCGCTGCTGTCGAGAACGCGCACGGGGCCCGAGCGCGCGGCCGCACCTCCGGGTCAGTCCAACCCCGTCAGGTCGATGACCTGCCCCGAAATGTCGCTCGGCGACCCCGTCAGGTCGATGACCTGCTCCGAAACGTCGCTCGGCGACCCCGTCAGGTCGACCACGCCCTCCCACGCGTGCACCAGGCCCCCGGCCGCACCGCCGCGTCCGCCGAGGCCACGCCCGACAGCAGTGACACGATTCCCGCCGCCGCCGCGACCGCCACCGCCACCGCCGCCGCGACCCCCGCCGCGTCCGCCGCCGCCAGCAGCAGCAGCACCAGCAGCAGCAGCAGCAGCACCAGCAGCAGCAGCAGCACCACCACCACCACCACCACCACCACCACCACCACCCCCCCGCCGCGACCCCGCCGCGTCCGCCGCCGCGTCCGCCGCCGCCAGCACCACCACCAGCACCGTCGCCGCCGCGTCCGCGACCGCCGCCGCCCCCAGCACCACCACCACCGCCAGCACCACCGCGACCGCCGCCGCCCGCCACCACCACCGCCGCCGCCGCGGGCAGCACCAGCGGCACCAGGACCACCGCCGCGCCCGCGCGCCCGCGCCCGCGCCCTGCGCCCGCGCCCGCGCCCGCCTGCCGCGTTCGGGTCGCCATCGACCGCCTCACCGGCCTCGCCGCCGGCCAGGCCGCCCGCAGCGCCGTCGTCGCGCACCCGGCGTCCACGTGCCGGATACCTCGCGCGGTAGCAAGCGCCGCAGTAGCCAGACGTGCCGTACTTGTACCAGCCGTCGTGCGCTTTGTCGAAGCACCGGGCGGCCAGCGTGCCGCAGTCGCGGCAGGCCGTGTCGCCGAACACATCGGCGCGCCGCTCGGCCATGTCCGCGTCGGACATCGGGTTCTCGCACCCCCGAGTTGCGCACGTCCTGTTCTTGTGGAAGCCGTCCGGCGCCCACGTCTGGCAGCTTGCCGTCTTCGCGCACCCGCAGTTCTTGCCGGGGCGCTCCTCGTGCGGGCCCAGCTCGTCCTCCAGGTCCGACAGGAGCTTGTCAGCCGCAGCACCCTTCCCTTGTTCCCGCAGCTTGTCGGCCTCCTCTTTGGCGTTGGCGCGCTTGTCTCGCCGCGCCTCGCGCCACTTGGCGCACGCCCCGCACCTCCACGCCTCGACGAGCACCGTCGTGCCGTCAGGCAGGATGACCGTGTCGGTCGTGCGCTTGCCAAACCCCTCGGCTTCGTAAGTCCGGTCGCGGAAGCCGTTCGGGAAGGCCACGTCGTAGACGTGCAGCTTGCAGGCCGGGTTCGCGCAGCACACCTCCCGACGCCTCAGCTCCAGGCGCTCCCGCGGCACCAGCGGGAGCAGGTGCAGGCGGCAGATCTTGTGCTCGTAGTCCTCGGGCAGGTCGCAGTGCTCCGTCCTGTGGCACCCGCGCCACACCACCAGCCCCCGGAACGGCGTCAGCCCGTCCCTCGACGCCGACCCGGGGACGATGGTGTTGTTCTGCTCGGCGGTGTGGAACCGCTGATAGCACACGCCACAGCGAAAAAACCCGCCCCGGAACTTGTTGAGTCCCGGGACGACCTCGCGGTCCTGCCGGCAGTCCGTGCAGATCCCCCACCTCACCCGGACGGCGACGAGCTGGCCGTCCGGGCAGGCGTAGACCGAGATGCACACGCACCTCCCAGGGGCGTGCGCCACCGGTACGACGCAGCGCACGTCGTAGGGGCAGTTGATGGGCCCCGGCCCGATCCACGTGATCCGGGCGCGGATCTCCGTCAGTCGCCTCCGGATCTGAACGTCGATGCAGACGAACGCGCTGTCCCAGACGGCCTGGTCGAGGTCTTGGCGGTCGCCGGGCGCGTTCGACGACCCCGCCCGCGGCGCCGTCTCCGGCAGGAGCGTGCGGCGCCGGCTCCCCCCCGCGGGCCACAGCCGCTCCGCGATCTCCGGCGCGAACGCGTCGGCGGTCCCCGGCGCCGCGCTCAGGCGCGCGACGAAGCACCCCGCGTGCTCGGCGATGCCCTGCACGGCCTCCAGCATCGCGAGCTGCGCCTTCATCTGGTTGCACCCCCAGCAGGCCAGCTGGACGTTCCCGCGGACGTGCGGCTTGAAGGCGTCCTTGGCGTCCACCGTCAGCAGGTAGAAGTACCCGCCGCCGAACGAGCCGAAGACGCCCAGGGACCCGGGCAGCATCAGGATCATCGGGACTTTGCGGCCCGAGATCGGGCACAGCCACCCGAGCTCCGACATGAGCTGCTGGTACAGCTCGTCCACGTCCTCCCACCCGGGCGGGGGGGGGATCGGGAAGTCCGGCCCGAGGTGCTTCCGCAGGTCGGAGTTCGGGTTGCGCAGGCGGTCCACGTCGCGCTGGTGCGCAGCCTTCAGGAGACCGTATAACATGTACCTGAGAGGGTCAGGGGGGGGGTCAGGGGCGGAGTCTGTGGGCGCGCTGCACGTGTGAGGCGAGACGATCGTCGCGGCGAGCGCGAGGAGCACGCACTTCGCGCACGGCGCGCACCTGATCTGGTACTCGAGCGTGGACCGCTCTACGCCCGGGCTGCACTCCTGCAGCATTGCGCGATACGGGTTCGCGCGATTGCCGATGGAGGGCGTGCCGGCCCCCCCCGCAGTCGGCATGGCGCCTATCAGGAGGAAGAACTCCGCGAGCTCGCCGGCGTCCGTCGTCGTGTCCCGGGCTGCCCCGAGGAGAGAGTTGAGGTGTTGGTCCGTGTATCCGAAGAGGCCCCGCAGAATCGCAACGAGGTGCGAGAGAGGGGTCAGCCTGTCTATTGACAGGCACGGGCCTCGCTGCTCCTCGCCCGGCCCCGGAACGTGCAGCCCGCGACCAGTCCAGGCGTCGCGTGCGCGGACCTCGACCGGGCCGTGGCCCGCGCCGCCAGGGCGGTGCAAGTACACGACGCCGCGCAGCTGTCTGAACAGCAGGGGGACGACATCCCCCGCGTGCTCGGGCAGCAGCGGCGACTCCTCGTGCTTGACGTCCGACATGGCGCTCCAGCCGAAGACGGACGTCGCCTTGCGGGCGACGGCTCGCCCCACCGCCACGTCGTCGCCGTCCGCCGTGACGCGCGCCACCTCCGCGTCCGCCACCGGTCGTGCGGCGCGCGTCGCTGCAGCCAGCATCTGAAACCCCGTGAGAGGCTGCTGCTGCTGTTGCCGCGGCCGCACGTCGCGCGTCAGCGGGGCTCGCGCCGCCACCCCGACCACCTCCTCCGCCGTTGAGATCTGCGCCGCCACCTCGACCTCCTCCTCCCCCACCTCGACGTCGTCCACCTCCTCCTCGCCCGCCGTCGCGCCGGCGGGGAACAGCACGTCCACGTCGGGAACGGCGTCGTCGTTGACGCGCTCGATGTCGTCCGGCCTGATGTCGTCCTCGTCGTCTTCAGGCGGCGCCGCGCCCCGCGCACCTCCGCCGCCACCGCCGCCGCGGGAGGGGCCGGCCGGCACGCGGGCCGACAGCCGCTGCCGCTGCTGCGGGGGCTGCTCCGCGGCGTCGCTGTCGTCTGACGTCTCCCCGCCGAGGCCCTCCCGCAGGCGTTTGGCGCCCCGAGACGCCGCGGTGTCGTCTGTGGAAGTGTCGCAAAGGTTGCTGAATTGATCGTGATCCATATCCCGCTGGGCAGCCCCGCCGGCCCTGTCCTGGACCCCAGCAGCGCCTCCGCGAGCGGCGCTCCGCAGCCGCGGCCGTCCCTTCTCGCGCCTGCCGGAGCCAGGGAGGCCGCACCTGAGGACCTCCTGCAGTGCAGTGAAAGGGTTGGGGGGGGGGTTGGTCACAGGGACGGTGACGCGCCGGTTAGGCGCGGGCCGGGCGCGACGGCGCTGGCTGCGTACGGCGAGCACGCGGCGGCTGGGAGTCGGCGCGCGGACGATTCGGCGGGCCACGCAACGCACCCCGGATGCGCTTTCGACCTTGGCAGCCTTGACCAGCGGAGAGTCCGTCGCTGGAGGCGAGGTCGACGCCGGTTCCTCCTGATCGCTCTCGGGCGTCGCGGGGGGCGAGGCCGCCCGCATCGCGCCCGGCGTGCGCTGACGGCTGCCCACGCACTCTCGCCTAGGGACCCCTGCGCGGACGGCGGGGAGGGGGGCGCTGCTGGCTGAGCGGGCGGTCTCAGCAGTTATCAGCGTGCACACGAAGCCGCTCGCCCTCTCGCGGGCCCAGCTCCGCGACTCATCGCGAACGGCAGCAGTGCGAAAACGAGCCACGATTTCCCGCCACGGCCGCGGGACGCGGGGGCGCCGTCGCCCGCGCCGGACGGGCCGAGATCTCGATAGATCCCGACGACTGGAGCGGGAACACGCGGGGTTGGGGCCGCGGGCGGGCAGCACGACGCAACAACCACAGGGGAAAAAAAACGGCGGCCGCCGCGGGGCCGTGCTGCGCGCTCGCGTCCCCGCACGCGCGTGTACGGACAGACCGAAATGATTTGGACGCGTTCCTGGGCGGGGGTGCGCGGTGATGCGGCCGGGAGGCCTGCGGCTGCACGGGTCGCTCACCTGGACTGGGTGTCCGCGTTGGCCGCGTTTGCACGACGTATCGCGCAGAGGAAGGGCCTGGTCGGCCCCGAGGGCGATGAGATGCAGTTTTCCCGGCCGCGCGCGCTCCGCGCCGCAACGTCGCGCCCGATCCTCGAGCGCGGGGGTGTGTTTGTTGGCGTTGAAGTTGACAGCGGTGTCGAGGTGCGACCCGGCGGGCGCCGCGGAGGCCGCCGCGGAGGCCGCCGCGGGCCTGGCTGATCCACCGCGTCGGGGGTGTCCGGCCTGATATCGACGCGTTGTCCGCCGCGGAGGGAGCGGCTCGATCTCCCCCATGTTCGCGTTGTTGTCGTTGAAGTTCATGTCGCGCACCTTGCTCGTTTCGTCGCGGGGGACGCCACGCGCCCGCGCGACGTGCACCCGCGAAGAGCGTTCGGCCGCCTGCGGTGGTCCGCGGGCCCCGGGCTGCCGCCAGAAGCGCCCACAGCGAGGGACGGCGGCGGGCGCAGCGGCCTCGTCGTCGCGGACGCGCGCAACGACGGCACGCGCGGCCCGACGCGGCGCATCGACGCGACCTCGTGCAGCACGCCCCCGCGCAGCACGCTCCCGTCGCCCCCGCGCACGCCCCTACCTGCCACGCGCAACGTTCAAGTCCCCCGCCCACCGCGACGCGGGAGGGCCGCGCGGCCGTGCCGCGGTGGCAGCGCGCAACTTCAGCTTTGTGGCCGCTGCGCGCTCGACGGCGACGGCGCCCACCGCCACGTCAGCGAGGGGGGCGCAGCCGTTTGCCGTCGGCGCGCTTGCACCTGCCCCACGTCGCCTGCGGAGAGCAGCGGCACGCGGCACGAGGAGCGTGTCGCTCGAAAAAAGCGGCGACGACCGCGCGACCGGAGCGCTGGGGCCCGGACGGGCGGGGATGGCGCGTGGCGTGGCGGCGACGCAAGAAAACAAAACGCCCGTGGGCCGTCAGCGCGGCCTCCGCCTGCGCGGCCTCCGCCGCGCCCGGCCACGGTCGCGGGTGCACGGCGATGCGGCGCGCTCTTCACGAGCGCCCGGACGACCCCGCGCGCAGCACGTGGGCTCACCTGCATGTGGGCCTCCCCCACGCAGATCCGCCCAGAGACGATCTCTGGAGACGCGCGCGGTCGCGGATCTCGATCTCTCGCACATCCTGCGCAGCAAGAGGTCCTGTTCGCGATCGTGAGGGGCGGGGACGCGCCGGGGGCCGAGAGCAGGGGCTGCACGTCGCCTCTGCGGGGCGTGCGCGGGCGTACGGCGCGTGTTCTGCGCCTGCACATGTTCCTCATGGCATATGTATGACGTCACTGCACGAAACGGCGGGGCCAGGGCCGTGGGACAGCCGCGGTGGACGGAAACGAACACGCAGCCATCGCGGTCGCCTGCTGCAGCCCGCCGGGGGGGCGCCTGGGACGCGACCTGCATCTGCGCCTTGTCCGCGGCCTGCCTGGACTCGCACCGCTGCCCTAAGCTGCGCGCACGCACCACCACCACGCATGGAGCTACGCAAGATGATGCGTACGTGTGATGGCACGACAGCTGCGACGCGTGCGCGCGGCGGGCCGCGACGGCGAAGTGCTGGTGTGCGACGTGGACATGGCGGCAGTACCTGCCCGCACGGGGCGGGAGTCACGCGTGGCACGCAGGCACTGCGCGCGCCCAAGGCGCCCGCTGTTGGGACTGGGCAGCCCGGTCGCGGGGGGCGACAAGCTGACCACCCTCATGGCCACGGATGCGACGGCTGTTGCTGGGGCGCTCCTGCCCTTGGCGCCGCTCGCGCTTTGGCTGCTTGGGGGCGTGCCACACCTGACCAGGAGAGTGACTCTGAGTCCCTGACTGTCCGCCACTGGCTCGAATGCGGCCGTCCCGGCGCGCTTGAAGCAAACGAGTTGCCGACACGTGTTCCCGCGCCGAAGAGGGACCATCTTGCCGCGTCGGAGGTGCGGACGCGGCGTCCTGCTGCTCCTCGTTCGTGCCAGCACACTACACTGGCTCGCCTGGACGCCGTCCAGCCCAGAACACAGGCACGACGTAAGCGTCGAGAATACAGAGTGCGGATCAGCCCCCAGAACGCGCAAGGTGTGCGACGCCCGTCTGAAACTGCAGCGTGGCTGGACAACATGTCCCGCGGCCCCGCCAGGGAACGCCGCGGTGCGAGTGTTGCCCCCAGTACGTCGCGGTTGACTGTCGCACGTTCGCCGTGTCGGCTGCGCGTGCGTCTCGAGGCCACGCGGAGGCAAGGATTGATTGAAGCATCCCGCAGTCTGAGCGCCCTCGGCCGCCGCGCAGGAGCGACGCCCTGGCTCGGCAGGCTCCACGCACGAAGAGTACCAAGTTGGCAAGGCGGTGCTCTGCAATCTCGCTCGAGTTCGGCGGGCCCTCCGGGCGAGCGCCGAGGCAAGCTCCGCAGCACCTCACGCCCCGTCAAGGGGCCGACGTGGCTCGGCCGGCCGCGATGTCGACGCGCTGGCGGCGTTCTTGAGCGCGTCGTCCTGTTTTCTCCGCCTCCGGCTGCCGCACCTGCCCCACATGCACGCCACGACTGGTTGTTTGGTTGATGCCCTGAGGCCGGACCCCCTGCGCAGTCCACTCCCCGCGACGCTGCAGCTGCTCCACGCCCGGACTGACCGCAGGCACGCTTGCCAGGAACGCCGTCGCCCGGGGCCCTCGCGGCCCGTACTCCGCGAGGTGCAGACGCGCCGCCCGCGCCTCGCGATGGTGGTCGCTGCGACGGGGTGCCGCACGCGCGCGGCCCGTGCGAGCCGGGGGAGCCGCGCCTCGCGGAGGCGCCCTTCCTCACGGTGGCGCCGGGCTGCGTCCTGGGCGTGTCGCTGCACTGCAGGTGGATGCTGCATATGTGCGGCGCTCGACGGAAGCCAGCGCTCGCACGGCCCTATCGCCGAGGCACCGCCAGCTCGCGCAGCATCGTATCGTCGTGCCGGGCCGTCGCGGCCGCCGGGGAACCCCGGAGAGGCGCGGAGACGCCCCCCGTGCCCTGCGCGCTCGTTCTCCGTGTCGCCGGCGGATGGCACGCTCTCGACGACGTCCGCGGGGCTGTGCTGCGACCAGGCGACGGGTTTCGTCGTACGAGCAACCTCGCAGATGCCTGGGCGCAGCTCAGGACGCCTGGCAGCGACCCCCAGTGCTCTGGCCATGGCAGCGATGGCGATGGTCGCACCCTGCCGGCGCGGCCGCGACGACGCGACCGACGCTGCAGCCTGGCACCGAGACTGCGGAGGCGGACCGTGGCGTTGTGCCTGGCTCTCTCTCTGGCTGCGGGGTCGGACGAGAGGAGTCCGGTGTGATGTGGAGATGAACGAGGCGGTGCGCTTCAGGCCACGCTCGCATGGACCGCGCAGGACAGCGGGAGTGCGAAGGGTGACGGGGGCCGGGAACGAGCCGGGCGCGCGGCAGACGAGCGCGCCTGCCCACGTGATGCCGCGGTCGCGCTCCTGCATCTCGCTGCGGCGTCCGTGCGCGCGTCTGAAGCGGCACTGCGTCAGGCCGTGGACGCTCTGTGCATGAGGGGCAGGGGGCGCTTGTTGCGGCCGACGGTGCTGCGCTGCGACGGGGGGGGCCTCTCCGAACTGAGCCCGGAGGTGTGTGCACGTGGGGGACCCGTCACGACCCCGCCGTGCAGTCCCGGCGCTCTACAACCCGGCCGCTGCGGGTCCGTCCTTCCAGACCTTCTGGCTCGCGGACTCTCGAGAGCAGACCAGTGACGCACGTGGCTCACGGCGGGCGAATTCGCTTGCGGGTGCGCCAGCGCTCGATGGGCACTTCACGATCTTTCGCACCGCGTTGAACTGCAAGATCTGGACGACACATGTGTGCATCATTCAGTTTCGCGCGCCTTTCACATGTTTTGGGCCTCGTGGTGCCGCGCATCGCGACATTTTCCACCTCTATGCCAGGACACGGCGCGCAGCGCTGTCCGCTGGGCATCATCGCGGCCACCGCCGCCCGTACAAGCTCGACTTCGACGTGTCCGATACATTTCGCGTGCGACGCAGCCGCGGGCGCGGCGGGGGTTAGTCGCGCGGGGCTGGGAAGTCCCCGCTGCTGCTCCCTCTCTCTCACGCGGCGGAGCGCGCACCCACGCCGCCCCGTGGTCGACGCGCGCCGTTCAACCAGCCTCATTTGCGCCCTCCACGCGCCCCCCCACGCGCCCCCCACGAGCCCCCCACGAGCCCCCCACGAGCCCCCCGCAGCGTGTCCACTGCTTCGGTTTCGAGTCGCCAGCACGGACGCCCAGCGTCGTCTGTTTCGGGCGCGCCGGCTTCACGTGCGCGTCGTGGAAGTGCCAGCGGCGAGGACGCCGCAGCGAGCGCTGAGCGTGCAGCTGCACACTATCCTTGCGCACGGTGTCCGTCTTCCAGATCCCGTCTGTCGCGGTCCAGCGGGCGGGCAGGACACGCGCCCGACGATCGGGCGCGGGAAGGAGCCGCGTGCGAGGGGCCTCCTGGACACAGCCAGGTCGCAGCCCGGGATGTGTTGCAGGTCGTGTGATTGCTTAGAGG